AGTAAGAAAAAGGCCACCCGGTCCAACATCATTATTAAATGGTTACTCAAATGCGGATGATTATAAATGGTTAAGCGCAGACTTTATTTGGCATTAAGTTATATCATGTTGTAGCCCATAAGAATACCTAATGATTCGTTAAAGAACGGTGATTGTAGCTGAACCATTCTCGAAATAATGAGACTCAAAGTTTTTAGTCCAAAGGCCAAAATCAAGAGAACAATTGATATATCGAAAAAAGTATTTTATCCATGATATTTACCAACAAATTTTGTGCCTAAACAGTGATTTTCAACTCTCTAAATTTTACGTTCACAGAAATAAGTCAGTTTAGACAAAAATCGAACTAACCTGTTTTACACAAAATATTAAATGATATTTATCAAAATAAGTTCATGGCATGGTTGGCCATTAAAGGTTACATAAGTGACAGAAGCTTCATGAAAAAATCTGCTTCCATAATCGTACAAAAAGCGATCGAAGTTTCAACTTTGACTTCGATTTTCTTGAAAACCTTTCATGATAGAAATGTTTTAAAAGCACTAATGGACTTAGTTTTCATGTCTCTTCAAGCCAACAGAGTAATAATTTGAAAGAAACTAATGTTAGCCCGGTTAAACATAAATGTGCAATTGGGTTAATCAGGTCTTCTAGCAACAACCAGAAAATGATGTTCTCTAGACAAGTCAATCAATACTTGCTTCAATATTCAAATTGCTATCAGAATTCTGTTATTTTTAACTGAAATCTAACCTCATCAAGTCGAGACGAAAAACCAATTGCAAAGTAAAATTAAATCTATTATAGAATGGACTCATCAATACTCATTTATCACCATGAACTCATTAGTAAACCTTGCTTTGATTCATAGACCAGGTTCACATTGTCTTTTCAATGAGACATCGGATTTTAATTTTTCATCAATATTATGTTCACAAAACAAAGAATATTAAAAAATTTTGTCAATATTTTGATCCAATGACATGGGAAGTCTCATTTGCAGATATTTTTATGGCGACAGCAAATTTGTGCTATTTGAGCATCAAAATGAGCCATCTGCTTCAAAAAAATATCAATTCGACTCATTATTTCAATGCATTCAATGATTCATTGATTGTTTATCGACAGAATTTTTTGTACCAATTAGTTCAGCGTATCACTTTGTCCCATCATTAGTATCATCAACTTTATCATAATAGCATAAGAATTTTAAACAGCATAAACTAAAGAAATGGCTGAAATTCAGAGTGAGAATGTTTTCGTTCATTGATTGAAATACAAAACAAATCGGTTGAAATGTAAAGCCAATCAATATAACAAAATGTATCAGTGATAAATAAACTGGATCCATTTCAATAAGAGTATTGAAGATGTATATTTTAAACAAATTGTTCAACTGGATGTCAAATGAAAACATCAAAAAATATCCAAAAGTGTCGATGAATTCATTCTCATCTCGATTTAATCTGATTGTTTCATCGACAAATGGTTTACTAGGAAATGGTTTGTTTATTTTGTTGTTTGTTTCAACTCAGTTGAAATTTTGGGTCAAATTAGGATACATTTCACTGGATTCACTCAAGGCAAATTGTTTAGGCACTATTTAGTTCGCTTTACCCATGTTTTTCATAATTTCATGAATTCCTTAGTAATCATGTTTTGTATAGCAAAAATTGTTATGGATTAGGCTAAACTTGATATTTACGCTGTCGAGGTTTTGTTACCTTTGTTTCCTTCCATCAAACTTCAATACATGTCCTTCATTATAATTTTATGCCTTTGATTAATTTGTTAGATGCCAAATGGTTCTCTAAATAATCATATCTGTATTTTTAACCCTGTTGTTGCAATTTAAAGCGTAATTTTAAAATAGATATGTTGTTGAAATGTTTTTAGGATAAATGTTAAACTTAAGATTTATATATATATTATTTATGTAGTATACATAGTTCAGATTCTTTTTTTGAGACAAATGGGCCCAAAATTTGAATATATTTCAGATTTTGGTGGGCCATTAAAAACTACCGCCTTTTCTTGCGAAAACAATCAAAAAATGCCCTTTTCCAGGTTATTTTCTAAATATTGGTTACATCTATGTATATATATACACATTAAAAAAGAGAACAAAACAATAAGGAATTATCATCCACTGAGCAGAGGTTGTTGATCACAGTCAAGCTGAGAAGATTGTGATGGTATATTATTTAACTCTATTGTTACAGTCGATGATGTTGAACAATTATGATGGTATGATTGATGAATAGAATCATTTGAATCATCACTTCCCACTGGTCCAATTTCTGTTGATTGGCTAGACCCGTCTTCATCTTCATTTTTACTAGAACGTTCATTGCTACAACTAATATCACCATTTTGAGACTGTTGATTATTTTGTGTGAGTAAAGGATGATTGGAGGATGTTGTACAGTTTGGTTCTTCAATATCAGATACAGCATTACTTTGAATGGCTGATAGAGTCGATGAAGTTGTTGCTCCATTCATTGTTGGTCTAATATTGATTGAGCCCGTTGTGGGTATCGAAAGTATGTTCATAGTTGCTGGTATGTTTGAGCAAATACTTGGTCGTTAAAAAACACCATTATTATAAATACCATCAGATTTTGTGAGTGATTGTTGTGATGGTGGTGGACTAGGTGGACGCCTTCGACCTAGGTCTTAATCTTCTAGGTCGTCGACGAGATGAAGAAGATGAACATCCAGCTCCATATTCATCAATACCAGAAACCGCTGAAGCATAGCTTGGAGGAGGCTCTCGATAAAAATATTCAGAGTCTGGACTGAAAAGAGGCCATGTTGAGTGACTATTACTACGAGCGAATGGAAAGTACCTTTGGTAAATATGTGATGAAGAGTAAAGATTATTAGTTGCGGAACCGCAATAAGAATCATCTTGAGCTTGACGTTGCTGTTCAATTTGACGCAAAGCAATCAATTTACATGTACAACTTATAGCAATAACAAGTAAAAGTCCGCAGATAAGAGATCCCATAAGAGCAGCTGTGATAACACTATTTTTTAGACAATTTATTTCATCTGATGAATCTCCACAATCGTTACTTCGATCACAGGTTAAAATAGCTTGGATACAGTTACCATTTGTACAAAGAAAGTTGCCCTGTTCAGGACGGCACTGTTCAGTGGTACAATTTATTTCATCAGATCCATCGCCACAATCAAGAGATGTGTCACATACTTGAATTGAATGGATACATTGTCCATTAGCACAAAGAAATGCTCCGTGATCATGTCGGCAAAGTTCTTTCGTACAGTTTCTTTCATCAGACCCATCAGAACAATCAGCAATACCATTGCAACGCTCATCACGGAAGAAACATTTAGCATTGTTGGCACATAAAATTTTCTTAGCACAACGACGTTTTTCACAACCCATTTCATCAAAAAAGGTCCACAAAGTCCACAGTTAAGTTCATCTTTAAAATCAACACAATCCCAATTACCATTACAACGAGCTCGTTCCGAGTAACAGATTAAACCAGCAGAGCAAACAAACATCCCATGTGGACATTTATCACAGCTTCGTTCATCTGTACCATTAGCACAGTTCCAATTACCATCACAACGGTCTTTGGGGAAAGAGTAACAAGAAAAGGTGTGAGAATCTTCATTTAAACATTGAGCTTCATTGGATTCCCGACAAACATGATCACAATTGGCTTCATCTGAGTTATCGCCACATTCATCTCTTCTATTGCACATCCAAGATTTATCTATACATTTTCCATTCGAACATCTTGATTCTGATTCTAGAACACATGGTTTTCCAATCCATGTTTTACTGTAAGTCGCATGGAAACCGCGACCTCCCGTTCTATTGGCATAAATACCATTAAACAAAAAATATTGAAAAATTTTGTCAATATTTGTTTCAATGAAATGAGAAGTCTCATTCGCAGACATTTTCATGGAGACAGCAAAGTGATATTTAAACTTCAAAATGAGACTGCCATCTGCTTCAAAAAAAATATCAACTTATTATTTTAACGCATTCAATGATTCATTGATTGTTTATCGACGGAATTTTTCTGTACCAATTAGTTCAGCTAATCACTTTGTTTCTCATTAATATCATCAATATTATCATAATAGCATAAGAATTTAAAGCAGCATAAACTAAAGAAATGGCTGAAATTTAGAGCGAGACTGTTTTCTTCAATTGATTGAAATACGAAACAAATTGGTTGTAATGTAAAGCCAATCAATATACCAAGATGTATAAGTGATAAATGAACCAAATTCATTTCAATATAAGTATTGAAAATGTATATTTTAGACAAATTGTTCAACTGGATGTCAAATAAAAACATAAAAAATTATCCAAAAGTGTCGATGAATTCATTCTCATCTCGATTTAATCTGATTGTTTCATCGACAAAAGGTTTGCTAGGAAATGGTTTGTTTATTTTGTTGTTTGTTTCAACTCAGTTGAAATTTTGGGTCAAATTAGGCTACATTTCACTGGATTCAACATTTTCGGTTCATCCAGAAACCATAATCTACTGTTTCATTGAAATCTATCTCTTAAGCCTTTTTCACTTTAAATTTAATGAGAAGTTTCTAACCCAAGTTCACCAAATATGGAAATCCTTAAATATTGACTCTGATGATTCAACTCGACGTTATTTTTGGACCAAAGAATCAAGTTACCGTAAAATGATCACAATTAGTTACTTTTCTATGGGGGTCTCCGTACTGTTAGTACATGCAGCCTCTTGGCCTTATACATCGGTTAGTCCATCTGAGTACTCAATTGAAATGCTATTGAGCGAACCATCAGTCAAATTTTGGTCTGAAATGCTTGCAGACATTGTTCTTTATCCAGTCTGTCTGATGCAGGATTTTATTATAATTGATTCTGCATTTCTGGCCCAATCTGCTCTCCATTACATCAACAATCGACTTGCAATAATAGATAAACAGTTGAAGATGAACGATATGAAATTGGACATTAAAGCCATTCAGGATTTGAGAGTGAAATATGTGTTAACTCATCGTTTGGTGAAAAGATTGGGTTCATTCGTGAATCCCTGTTTATTTGGCATATTTTCATATTACGTCTCAATTTTGAATGTTAAAATATACAAAATACTGTTCACTGAACACAATCAGTTCTATTTAACTGTTGCATTGATTGACTTCTTCGGCACAATCACTGAATTGTTTTTACTTATTATACCAATTGCTACAATAACAACAAAATCTCGTGAATTTCATAAGACTTTGTACAAACTAACCTTTAACACTGATTCATTTCACTATCTAAATGAGGTGCACATTTCTCGAGTTTTTCAATCTTCTGCTAAAACAATTAATGGCTTTGCTTTTTCTTGCAGATTTCACTATTTCTCTATCGGATGAGCTTCAATAATATTGGATTCTCGTTTGGAGGTATTTTCATGATCACACCAGATTTCACATCTTCATTGATTGCTGTAACGTTTACGATTATTATTGCGATTCCATCATTTATATCTTGAATATTAAGCTAATACTTTAAATAAATGTCGATCATTTCAGAAAAAACCAAATTAAAAAGTTTGAGTTTCACACGAATTTGGTTACTTTATATTTCTCTCGGCTCTTTCAAACTATCCAATTTAGTTATATGGACACACAACTCAAATTTTCGAGTCTTTGGCAGCAGTCTTTGCATTAGACTTGCAAGTCTAACCAGAAAATTGGTTTATTCACCAAGATATGGGTTAAGACGAGTTTTGTTTGTTGAATAAGTTGTTGCTCGTGCATTTACAACGCAAAATCTGACCCAAATGCGCTAATGGAAAATTATTAAATTTTATTGAATTATTAATTAGTTAAAGAATGCTGATTTTAGATAATTCCATTCTTGAAATATTGAGTCTCACAGTTTTAAGGCCAATGACCAATATCAAGAGAACTGTTCATAAATTGAAAAAAGTGTTTGGTAATTGATGAGCACAAACAATATTTACACACAAATAAGTTTCAGCTCTTTAACTCATACGGCCAAAGAAAAAGATCTGTTTAACTGGAAATCGAACTAATCTGTTTTACAGAAAAAGAAAGGTTCTAGTTCTCGAAATAAGTATTGTACATTGTATCATTGATCATCATTGAAAACTCACATCATTAAAGAGAGAAATGGACATGACCATCATGCCATGATAGCCTATGTTGAATGCTTGTTCAATACTCGAATTGATTAAATGCCAATTTAATTGTCGATTGTACTAAGCAAATAGGTTGATGTTATTTGAAAATTGTTTTATAGATGAAAATCAAAAGTATTTTTGCATGTTTTGAATCAATGCCAAGTGAATAACAATAGTCGATATAATTAGCCTTCAATTTCACTCTATATTCCTTACTGATATTGTAATAAAGGTATCATTTGTATTATTTGTGTCCATCGGTTCATGTACTCAATGTTTAAACAAGTTTTTCATTGTAACCTGACTCTAGAAATTAGACGTTCTTTTCGTTCGAGTTCAAAGTTGATTTTTTGTTGCAAGGGCATAAACTTGAGTCAACTTGTTCACTTAAAAGATTTCTCTGGATTTTCTAGAAAATTGGATTCAAAACTGAAACTTTGACCTCCTTTGTACAGTTGATTTTTCACCAAACTTTTACTCTTTCCTCGAAAAATAAAGTTTTGCATAAATTCCTGACCCAACAATGAACCATAAACCTGAATAGCAAAAAGAACCCGCTCAGTTCAATCACAATTTTGACGCAAATTGATACATTGACTTTTTATATTGTTCAGATGAATAGACTGTATCAATTGTCGTTGCAGTTAGTACCTTTCTTCAAGATACTTCAATTTCAACCATTCAATCCATTCGTTCAATTTAAACTTGTTATCGACCAAGATTTTTATCAATATTTACCTGCCATTTAAATTGGTCCTTTCTTTGCTCAATTCAACCTCATGTTGCTCATGTTACTTTTGCTCCATCATATCATTTGACATTCCAATGCAATATCAATTTCATTAGCTTTTGTCTTAAATTATCTTTTCGTCAGGTGACTTGAGTATCATGGAAGAACAAATATAGTATTTAATGTAATTTAATGAATCCCAGTACAAATGGTGAAAAATTTACTCCCATTAAGACTGTTTTGAAATTAAAATTTGAATAAATGAACGTTATTGTCCCATTTAATCACAAAGATCATAATGTTTATAGTCATAATCATCATATCAACTGAAGAGTCGATCAATTGTTTTCTTGATACAATAACAGATAAAATTCCAATTCTAATTATGCTTCAAGATTATATCAAGAACAAAAAATACATTTCGATATCGACTAATGTTATCTGCATGATCTGACATGTGTTAATATTTGATCTATGATGCGATTTTTGTATATAAAAAGAGGCTTTGCCGTCAACCTAATAACATTCATTTCTTACTATTTGATTACTAAATTTACTTTCAAACTTAAAGTTAAAAATGAAATCAACTCTATTTGTTGCTTTAAGTGCTCTTGCAATTTCAGGTTCATTTGCAGTTTTACTCAAAGGTTCATGTCCAAAACCAGAGAAACCCAAAGGCGATAATTGGGCTTTTTCAAATGTAAGTTTACTTTCACTCCAATCGTTATTGTTATTAATTTTATCTAATTAGATTCTAGGAGATTGGAAGGTCTTATATCGAAGTGAGGAAACTGTTCCAAGATCAGTCTGGAACACCCTTGAAATTCATCACCTTTACCCTGGAAAAGTCGTCATGATTGAGTATGGCAATGCTCGCGACAAGTAAGTTTCAGTTAAAAGCTTGTTTATTGTATCTTAATCATAACTCATTTGATTCTTCAAGTGATGTAAAGTCACTATTTGATTTATACATGGACATGACTGTTGGTGATTTTGGTGGTAAATCATATTACGATGTTCTTACCAATGAATTCGATCCCTACTCATTCAACTTCACAACCTCAGGTAAACAGTGATTTTTCATCTTTACTTTGATGCAAAGAGCTTCAATAACACTTGACATTCATTTCAGATGGACATCAAGGCCAGATCACGGTACCTTATTTTGGTCGCCCCAAGTATGCTGAAGCCCTCTTGGCAAGTTGTGTTAAAATTGATGAGACAGTTGTTGATGGTAAGAAAATTATTAACAATTACTTTATTTAGTTTAATCATTCAATAATTTTTACTAAAACTTTTTAATGCTTGTTTCATTGTTTCATTGTTCATTAGTCAAAACATGGTTCATTTCAAAAACTGAATATATTGATTACCTTCCAAGTGAGGTTACAAGTTTTGTTAAATCATTCACTGGACAATCATTGACTGAAGTCTGTCAAGGAAGCTTCTGTTAATCAAGTTAATCAAACGCATAACCAAGTAACATAATTAAATTTACGCAAACAGTTAAACTCTTGATTTTTCCAATGTAAAAATTCGTAAACAAGAATATTAAATAATTTTTCAAAGCAAAATTTTCGTTCCATTTCGAGTTCTCTTCGGATTGCTCAAGGTTCAGTCATTAAAATTTGTTTAGAATCTAGTTTATTGGATATTTTAATGCGAAAGAGAGATGGTTGATACTTCAGATGAACAACAAAACTCATATTTTATCTCAAATTCACCATGTGAGGATCTTTCAAATAATTTTTATTCGCTGAAGATAATGACGAGATTATCTCAGCAAACTTCTTGGGACTTATGAAGCTGAGCAAAGGTGACTTTTAGTGACCAAAACTGTGGTTAAGATATGATTTGTTTATTCCAACGCAAGCTTTAAGGGTCACAATCAGCTTATTGTATCAAAGATAAAATCATATTTAATACGAAATTCAGCCACAATCAACACAATCAATATTCCATTTAATTTGATCAACTATTCTGATGAAATTGCTGACGCTCATATGTTAATCAGTAAATCAGCAATAGATTTAATGATTTCACCATTGATCAAAAGATCTGTTTCGTGATGAGAAGGATAACCATCAAAATAATTGTTTAAAAACAGCTAATTTTTATTTTACTTTTTCTTAATCTTTAGGACAACGTCCGATTTTTTCGTAGTAGAGTTGGTCATAAAACTTGTTCTCATGGCCTTTATCTCAGGCCTATTCAGTCAAATTGTTAGTAAAAAGAGTTCTGTGAACAGTCATTACCACAGGCCCCACTAGTGATATGTAATTGTATTCAGTGGATGATTTTGATTAAGAAACAGGTTATCCTTGAAAGTTAACACTTAGGGTTAAATTGTCTGTCAACATGAAAAGCGTGTAACTGGTTTACCATTTCTGAACGTACCTTTTGTCAAATGCATCAATCATCAGGCCCAATCAATTATGTATCGATCGTTAAATTGTAAAATATTATTGTTAAAGTTCATTGAATTTATCAAAAAAAACTAGTTTCAATTGATTTTTACTCAGCAGACTTTGGGTTAAGACAAGATAAAACATTGTAAACCCAATCGATGGTCATTTCAATGGATTTGGGTTCATTATCTTTTTGAGGCGTACAAATGATTGGTAATTTGATAATCTTATTGTGAACAATACTAACAATATTAGTTGAAAAATCAACTTTCCCTGAATCTATTTTTAATCTATTCAAAGTGACAAAAGTCTGATTAATTGTGGGTGAAAATTAATTGAAACACATAAATAACATTGAATAATGCAGGACGTCATGAAATTTCAATAAATCGGTGTTAATTTTTTATCGATCGAACAATTGTACAATTTATATCTGTATTTTAATCAATAAACAACAGTTGAAATCAAAGTTATCAAATTCAGTTAGATTTGAGTTTAATTTTGAATGAATTGTTACAATGAGTGGATAACCCATCAATATTGAATTGAATCGATCGTTTTTCTTTGTACATTGGCAAGGTTTCTTCATAATAATTTCCAGTTTGCGTTATTGTTAGCAATTTGCCAAGTAAATTATTTGGTCGATTGATATTTAAATTTATTGTCCAGCCAATTATTGGTTACTTTTAGCTTAATTGCTTGGTTAAATGAGCAACCAAGGCTGACTTGAAATTATTGTTGCCAATGAATTGATGGAAACATGTTAATTTATTGGGGAAACAGGAAAGATTAGGTTATGAAGCAAATTTCATGCAATAAAAATCTTGAATAAAGATCAAAACTGTGTTAGTCTTGAAAAAAGGATGAAATTGCTGGTTAAGATATGCTAATCGTCAAATGTCGTGTTGCTCATTCAATGATTAGCATCGCATTGGGTGAAATGTTTCTAATTGCTATCAAATGGCAAGTTAAAACAAGATCAAATGCTGATGATTAAAAGACGGAGAAACTGAATCACTAATAAAATATTGTGCCCAGAGCTAATTAATTAATAAACCAGAGTCTGTGTCTTAAACCCTTTTTTACCTGAAGGTAAAGTTGCTATTCACTGTGAAATTATGTTCACATCCGAGAGACATTTTATTAAATAATATGAAATGAGAGCATTTGAATTACAACGAAATTAATTGTGTTTTGTTTTAATCACTTTTGATTGTGGATGTTAAGGCTTTTTAAGGTTTATCAACTTTTAAGTTTGCAATGAGATGAATGTCCCTTTGTTTAGGTTACCCCTTATTGGATAACAGCCTTTCCTTTGTTTCGTAATGGGTTAAGTTAATTTTTATTTTATTTTGATTTTATTTTTATGTTTATTATCGTTTAATTATTGTTCAGTCTCTTGGATTTAGTTTAATTTCCTTTAATAACATGGTGTGTGAACATCCAGGTGAAGTAATCTTTGATGAAACTGTAAGTATGATTTTAATGGAAACGGATAGGTGAAGTTGGAAAGCAAAAACAAAAACAGCTTATTCAAGGTTTTTATGAAAATGAACTGATGATTATCTTATATTCATTCACAGAGGGTTTCTTGTATCACCTTTATCGATGGGTTTGGTTGAACTGAAAGGGAAAGCTTCAAGGCGATTTTTGACTATCATGTGGCTGATATCGTCATCGTTATGAATTAAACAAATAAGCCTGATTTTGAAGTCATTTCCAATCTTTGTATCATTTCTCGCTGGTTTGGCTAATTCTCGGCTGGTTCTCGGCTGGTTCTTGGCTGGTTCTCTCCTAATTATATGGATTAGTTAAACATTAGTCTTACAATTGTTAGTTGGAAATCCCTTTATTTAATTCTAGTGGTTATGTTCGTTGAGATCTTGCATGGCTTATCTTTTTCGTATCATTATCTAGCCCTTGACTGATTTCCGAGTCTCTGACCCTTCTCGTGATTTTGATCTTACACATTGCTCTTATTGAGATATTAATCTAATATGTTGTTGAAACAAAAGCTATAATCTTGATATAAGAGTACAATGACAGTAAGTGAAAGCACATAATCACAATGAAAATAATGTCTTTAACTATGATTATCTATGTAATTTCACCAGCCTGTTAAAAGAAATGAACGATTCCTTTTGCTAATCAACTCAAATGTGTAATGTTTTCGTAAATTGTCTTTCATAATCAAGGTTAGGCAGATTGATTTCAATGGATAATGGCATAAGGTATACACAATTGTAAACCTGTAACACAAGTAAATAACAAGTTCTGGTTGAGAAAGTGTTTATTTTAAACCATTACAACCACCAAAGCGGCAAAAAAACAAAAAAAAGACATCACAATAAAATGATTTCTTAAATCCATGAGAGTTTAATTTATGATCAGTGATAACCAACTTGTTTTTTATGATGAATTTTCATGTCGACTCATTAAGACTAACAGGTTAGTTAATTTTGAATCAAGGTTACTCGTGTTATCAACATCATTCTCAAATCTCACAATAACCTAACGTTTAATAAAAATTGATCATCATAGTTGTACTAATGTGATGATTTAACGTCTATTAGATATTTAATACTAGGTTTACAATATAAAAAAACCAAGACTCCTTTGTTAGTGAATATCGATGAAAGATTAACAATCAAAATGGTAAAGCACATGAGAAAATTTTGTTAGTTAATTGGAAATGAGTTAATTTGACCCTTTGTAACATATTGTTTTATCATGAATCAAAAATTATAGCTCAGTACATCTTGATTGGCAATAATTGGAAATATCTTTGTATTGATGAGTTGAAAGCAAATAAACTCAATCAACAATAAAATCTGCTGAAAAATTCAATCCATGTTACGATATTTCCCATTACAGCAATATTTAAAACTAGTAAACGGTTACAATTTGTAATTAACTGAACAGAAGCACATTCCATATCACCTTAAGTTTCATTATATTGAAGATTAGAACACGAGAAAATGGGGAAAAACTCGAATCAGGCTACTTTTCTGATATCTAGTAACAATTAAACTTGAAGTTGTTAATCTAATGAATAAGTTGGAAATACATTCTTGTACATTTAACATAGACAATGAACAGAATAATAAGGTTACTGGTTTTGATGATCTTATCTTAATTGCTTTTCAACTATCATTCACAGACTGATCATAATGCCAAGACTTACGGTTTAGTTATGTATCCTGACTGATCAAGGAAAAGATTCATAAGTCGTGATGAATCCAAGAACCGTTGAAACCATGAGTTTCGAGGCAATGGAAACAGAAAAGGCTACTTGGATGAAAAAGATCAACTCAATTCCCGGCATCGGACTCATTATGGGCATGTTGTCTGGTATATTTTTGGCCACTGGAAGTTTAACAGTGAAATTGGTTCATTCACTATCAGGAATTGAAGTGGCCATAGCAAGGTAAATTTAAAATTTTTGAGTTCTTATGCTTTTCTCTGTCCATCTAAATTTTTAGATCCTTGGTAACTGCTGTTGTCACTTTACTGATTGTCGCCTTTAACCGGGAACGTTGGATTCCTCCTGTTGGTGAAAAATGGCCTTTATTTATTCGTGCATTCACTGGCTGTTTGGCCCTACTTTTATCCTATTCATCACTCAAACTAATTCCTCTTGGTGATTCCCAGTCGATCGTATTTTCATCTCCCGTTCTTGTCACAATTTGGGGCTGTTTATTGCTTAAAGAGCCTTGTGGTTTCATTCAAGTGTTTGCCTTAATTGCTGTTATGGTTGGCATTTTCCTCATCTCACAGCCTAGCTTTTTATTTCCTGCTTCAATCGCCGTGTCATCGTCATCAGGATTGTCTGACCACACGATTGGTTTAATAATGGCTTTAGGTTCTTGCCTTTTTGCCTCGTGCACCTTTGTGTGTATGCGTCGTTTACCCAAAACACCGGCATCAATTGTAGTCTTTTGGTATTCCAGTTTTTGTACTGTTGCCGGTTTGATTGTTTCCTTTGTCAATGGATCTTTTAAATTGCCCGATTCAACTGGTGACTATTTATTACTCTTGGTGTGTGGATTGACTGGATTAGCTGGCCAAGGGATACTAACTTTAGCTTTAAAAGTTGAACATGCTGGACCAGTTTCACTGGCTCGTTCAATTGAAATTGTGATGGCATTTATTTATCAAGTATCAGTTTTACATGAACCACTTTCAATGTATAGTTTACTTGGAGCCTTCATTTTAGGTCTTGGTGTGATTGCAGTTGGTCTTCATAAATGGTACCTTAGTGACCCTCAAAGATTCAAGCGTATCTTTTGCTGTGAAAGTTAACCCAAAGAAAAACATTGACATTGTATAATTTGATTCTTAAACCTAATCCAGATTTACACAAATCCTTGGCTAGACCTCGCATGCAGGTTTGTTATTATTTGCAGCACATGAGTTAATATCACAGCCATTCATGTGCTTAATGTAACTACATGTAAGATACTGAGCATCCTTAAACTCATTTGATAGAGATACAAAAGGCTTAAGTGCAACCATTGAAATAAACATTAATTCAACATCATTTGACGACAGAAAAAGGTGTGAAATTACATGAAACATAGCTACAATTTAATCAGCTAGGAAACCATTCCTGGTAAACCAAAGTGATTACTGGTTTTGTTGTTTGTTATCTTGACAATGCTCAATGAAAACATAGTAAATCTGGAAAGATGATCACTCACATTTCATTTTTACAATCATCGTAAAAATTGAGAATCGCTTTTAATCCAATGAAATCCAGAATTGTAATTGATCTAAAGACCTTTTCGTTCAACCATTCAGCATATTCACCAAGATTATATCTTTACATAAAACGGAATTACCTTTGAGTTGTAATTTAATTGTCTAACATTTACATATAATAAAGGATTTAAGCAAACAATGATAAATCTCTTGTAACAATCACATTCATGGGTGAAAAAATCCAACCAACATTGTTAAGTCTTTTTTACATGTTGAACATAAAAAAAGATAAAATCAATGGTAATGTTTACATTTTGATCTCAAATCATTTCTTAATTGTTCACCTTGCAAAGCCAATAAGGATATAATATAAACATTTAAACAAAACTGTGTAATTAGCAAGTACAATGGATAATTGTGTGAACTATCATTTATAATTAATCACAAAATTACCGTTGATTGTAAACCTTTCAAGGTCCATTAAGCCAGTAAATAAACCAGCTGATTCACAATGGCTCAAGTGGTTAACTTGTTACAAATCATCTTTTATTCATTATTGCTATTAAACCTCACCAATGATCGACCGATTTACCTGTGATATTTTCAATTTTTCAGCTTCTTCAACTTCCACCTGAAAATCAGAGCTGTTGAGTGTCTGAAAACGCTGAGTTAAAGACAGTCGGAACAAACGGCTTAAGATGTTACTCATAATACATTATAATACATGTATAAGTATTGTATTGATAAATTAACCTTTTGAATTAAGCATTAACAGTTTATGCGATTCAAATGTCAATCCAATTGTTGAAAGGCTGAAAAGCTTATTGACTATCAATGAATATCCAATTAGTTAATGAAAATGCTGAGCCTTCACTTGAAATGTCAAGCTGAAATTGCATTCTGTACGATTTTACTTGTAAAACAATTTATTTAAGCTTCTAATACACAAATCAAGACTGAAAAGGTTAGCTTATTATTTAAAAGCCAATCAACAATTTATCAATTCAATTATTATTGATTCTTTGAGGAATCAAAATTTTCCTGAAAATGTGCCTTAAATGTAAAAACAGCATTTATTTTTAACATTTAACTGCAATATTAATCAAATATTGAGACTTGCTGCTTTCATTATTATTGTTGCTCTTGTATTGTTCACAATTGATTGTTTCATTGTTATTATTGATGATAAAGATAGATTAATGAAAGTTCATTTTATTAACGGTAAAATTTTTAAACAAAAAATCATCAACAAAGTGATATTTCTGTTGCTGAGTGATCCGAGTTAACATTTTCATACCTTTTTAATGCAATCAACAACCAATAAAATCAATAGTTATTATTAACATATTTAACTGATTAGTCGTCAATCGATCAATTGAAATGACATTGGTTTGGAAAAAAAGTTAATAATGTGACTGAGAAATGTAATAATGGGCCCAGCAAAAGCTAAAACTGACCACTGATCGATAGCCAAGCCTATTTTTTTGTTCCATTTTTCTGGTTACTTCTTTTTTTACAGCTACAGTTAATTAGACTAACCCTTTGACCGTATTGTTAATCCTAGCTTCCTGACCAACCTGTTTATTTTGACAAGACAAACGTCACGTAAACAAGGCAGGCTGTAACCGGACTTGAAACTCACCTGAGATTACATGTAAACCTAAAAAGAGGCGCTTTCTCATGTCCTAACAAAGATTAACCTTTCTCATTTTCCCATGAACACTATTAACATCACTTATAATCACCGGCATCATCTCTGCTTCAACAATTAATTTCATTTCCTTTCTTTATCTGATTTCATGATAATTTAAAACAATTGTATGAAAACTAGTGAACATTGAAAGGAACCGTCTTTTTCCGTAATAAAATTGTCAATCTAAAAGTAGATCTTTTACAGTTTATCAATGATCATTTTTTTCACAAGCTAATCCCTTGGATTATTATTAGCTTGAAATGTTGTTGTATCTTTCCTTTTGACTCCTCAGGCAAAATGGCTTTTCTGGTAAACTCTCTTAAGCAACTTTGTTACTCTTTTTTGCTGCTTTCTCTTTCTTTACACTTCGGGTTTGTTTGTGTGTCCTTGCCGTTAATCACTTATCCAGAAAAAGCACAAACAAGATTCTGGTATCAATGTTAGGCTAAATTTAGAGCTTATGGAATCCACATGATTTTTTGTTTCACCGAGCCTTGAACATTTCATTTTATGAAAATGGTTTACATTTGATTCTCCTATGTATGGTAAAGTATGGCTCTTCAATCAACACTGTTGCTTTTTTTAGTAACCAACTAAAATGATCCATTGTTATTGGAATATGGAATCGGAACAATAGTTCAATTTGCGTATTCTCGCCAAATCTCGTCCATTCAATCAAATTGATAAATAGATTTCAATGTGATAAATATTATGCATATCTATTATATAAAGCAATTAGTCACTAAAATGGTAAATAATCTCATAGGAGGATCCAGTGTTCAACATATTTGTTGTTATGTATCATTATCTGTTCATCTGTTTTAACTACTATCACTTGACTTGAGTTGTTTCATCATTCTTGTTGTTCAAATTCATCATTTTGACTGCCTCTTTCTTTTTTCCCCTTTCTCTCTTGAACATCCTACATATTTACATGCGATGCCAGAAAAAAAACAAATGCAAATTTTTTCTTTTGTTAAAATAGTCAATTATTTACAATTTTTTACCAAATTTTATTTTCATGATCAATACTTTAAGTCAGATGGAGGTTGTGGTGGTGGTGGTTGTTGTTGATGATGATGTTGTTGAAGTTGGTTTAACTGTGTTTGGTTTGTTTGATGGCTTGTCTGAGTTGAAGGTTGATTTGTTTGCTGAAGCGGTTGATTATAGTTGATTGAGGTATTAGGAGATCCAGATAAAAGTTGACTTGGCTGCTCAGAGCTCTGGTCACTGTTAACATAATTGTTGTTATTAATCTGATTTGTTAAATTGTGTATGTCTGTTTCCAGCTTCTGAGTGTTGTCTGTAGACAAATAAACATGATTTTCATTATTTGATGAATTGTTGGTTGTACTACCACTGCTTAAATTCACATTCCCTTGGTCTGGAGCAGAGTTATAAGCTTGAAATTTTATAGCAGATTCGTAATCTGGCGGTGGGCTATCTTTGATTGCTGTTTCATAGTCAGGAGGAGTTACATTGGTTGTACTGACAACTTCTGATGGGACCACAATCTAAAGGGAGAAAAAAATCATACAAAATCATTAATCCGTGGATTGAGACAAGACGAACTGATAAAATTATGACGTTTACACCATTCATCTTAAATCAATAATCACAGGTCTATTACATACCTCAAGGTCAAGGTTATAAGGTAGATTTAAAGTAGAAGTTATCTCTTTCATCTTCAGGTAGCGATAACATTTCCATATTATACAGATAAAGTAGATGTCACAAAGGAAATCTATTAAGGTAGCCAGTACAGAGAGAGTGTATGTTGCGTTGTCATCGGTTCGCAGAATGGTACGAACTTCTGAAGGACTAGGAACAGGACTATTACCATAATGATTTCTGTATTGGCTTGTTGAAATGTTGAGCTGAGATAAAGAAGATGGCAGAGAGAATAGAAAGTGGTACAGTTGGATACCAAAAAATGGCATTAGATAGGAAGCTTTAGATTTGGTAACACCATAAATTAAAATGGCCGACACAATTGCGACCATAAGATTAATCATAAAGAGAAGAGTAGTTGTCGGCCGATTAACAGCCACAAATCGTCGCATGTCATCTTCACTGCGAATGTTGTATCCAGATGACAACTTAATTAGTTTAAGTACAGATGTTATCTAGATTAAAATAGATTAAAATAAATGGATTAGAAACAATTCCGAAGAAACAAGGGAAGGATTAGCGAGAATTTTCAACACAGATAAAAAGATTAACCTGTGTGAAAAACAAATCAAATAAAATTCATTCATCAATCATACAAAAATGCATTATAGAGGAAAAATAGTATGAATAGCAAACAATGGTAACTATTAAATTTGGTTAAAGCCAGCACAAAAGAAATGGAAAACAAAGCAAAACACTCAAAATGAAAAGAAACTGAATTTTCAAAAAAAACTAAATAAACATGACAGGTAAAACCGTTAACTGAAAATTACCGTTCCATGGAATCGCCATTCTTATCAACCCTTTCATTACCATAACAATCTACAATTTTGAGAATAGTCTAATCCTGTTTTCAACCGTCGCCCTTAAAACTTGAATATGTAGCACTTGAAAAATTAAAAAGGAAGGTAGCCAATCCAAAACTGGCCTATTTTCAGGCTTAAAAAAGAGGTTGAGCAACAACTACCAATGGCTCTAAAGTTCAACTTGGGTCAAAATGGATGAAGTGACAAAATGAAATAAGGAATGTTCCATTATCATTTTATCAGAGTAAAAAACAATGACACCAACAGATGATTGAATAAAATTGAGACAATAGGAAAAAAATGGAAGCAGATGATGTAAAAGAAAAATAGAGTAAACTTACAAAAAAATAAATCCCAATGAATAAAGAAGCTGGTTTGACATGAAGACACAGGCAATGAGAATACCTTTCTCCATTACGATCTTCTCGGTTCATATTCACAAGAAAATAAATAATTTACAGAAAATGATATGAGAAGATGATCAATTTAATAAAAAATATGTCACAAAACTAGTTGGTCCTCTTTTTTTCACAGAGCGCAATTAAACAAAAGGTGATTCAATTAACAAATCAATCAAGCTACAATTCAACTCATGCTACCGACTTCAGGTAACTCTAAAATTGAATGAAAAAAGATGAGAGATACTCACTATGTGAAAAAAACTTGATGACTAACAACCGACACAAACTCAACAGATGGCGTTCATCAACATCAACAGAACATTTCAAACTTAGGTGCCGCCATCTAACTTGAATCAAACGATGCTAACACTTGTTTCCATTCAAATTGACTGTTAATTTAACGACTCTTTATTTATTAACTGATTTGAACATTTATCAGGTGTCCACAAGTGTTGATCAAATTGGAATGTGCCTTCTTTGTCTTTTCATGAAGAACAGTTTTGTCAATCTGAGTTCTATTTTCAGACTTAAAGAGTTGATAATTGAATCAAATCCGTGTTTCCAAATAAGTCTCTTCCTCATAACTTGCATGTAATCATATCTCTATCAACCTGCTCTGTGAATAATATACCGTTAATTACTATTTCGTGATAAGATTTCATGGCTTTACACGTGATTTTCTTGTTAGCTTTAACCTTATTTTCATTACATAATTATCAGTATAAACACCTCAATTTGTTTCCATCAAATTCTGTGAACCTTTATTTGCATAAAAAATGTGCAATTTGTAAGGTAAATAAGGTTAGAGTAAACAGTTAAATTATCATTCTGCTATCACAAAATTTATGTAACCCGAAATGTACCTCTGTTTTGCCTAATTCAAACAGATTTTGTATCAATCATTATATTTCTGAGAGAATTAACTTTTCTGTTTTGTGATGCTGTATGCTACTAACCATCGGCTCATCACCCGTTTATAAACAAAAAGTTACATTTAATTGCAAGATGAGTTAGTTCATTTGGAGAGGAAAAAAATCATTCATTGAGATTGAGATTGATATATTCTGTTTGTTCCTCAAAATTTCCCCATGAATTGTGGAAAATTGTAAATTGAAATATCTTCGCAATTGGTTATAAGCTAGTTGAATGGCGAAGCTTTAGATCATTGTCTTACAACTTCAGCAGAAATGATAGCAATCAATACCAAATAGAGGCTTGCAATTTCCAACGCTATCTGCGAGCAATGAGAAAATTTAATCAATCATTTGTTTCATTTGTAACTTTTTTCAATCTTTTCTGAGAACATCTATCGGATTAATCCTTTGTTGGTCTTAAAAACGAATTTGAATCATTAAATCATGAATGTAAGACCTTGGATGTTGATCATGATGACCGCACTTGATTATCGCAGGATCCTGCTCCATAGTTTTCCCATATTTATCTATTAAAGAAACAAATAAAATTGAAAAAATCGTGAGTTTCATGTTTATATGATGCGGCGATTAAAATTTAGCAAATGCTTAGAAAGGATTTTCAATATCAACTAGTAGATAAAAATTGAGAATCATTCGAAACTTGCCCATTCTGTATTCTTATAGAATAGCATTTTGCGCTTTAAAGCTTCATTACCATGGAAACCCAAATACATTGTCACTATGAAAATGCGCATCTACATGTATTTTCAAAATATTATTGTTAACATTCATTGTTCTTCAACCGTGTTATCTTGTTTTTTGTTTATTTGTTTTATTCAAGTGAAATGAAAACATCACAATCAAAAATTGTTAAATTCAAGCGACGCAAATTATATCGCTGTAATAAGCCGGTGGTAAGTAAAAAACTAATTACCTGATTCTGAACATTAACTGATTCTATTTATTTATGCTTATTTTCAGGCTTGCAAAAGAAAGCGAAGTGGCAACCCTAAACAAAAATCGAATAGAGAAGCCAACTGCAGTAAATGTGACTGCTTCACACATCCTTACCCTGTGGTAAGTTACATGCATACAAAGAAGCTATAAAATAATAAAACTTTTCTTTATTTCTTTATAATTATAACTAACTTCCCAGACAATCCGCAAAATTGAAATCATCAAGAAATGGCTCCCAGATCCAGAGTTTATTCAGTGGGCGAGGCCATTTTTTAGCGAAATTATAACCAAAATTCAATTTAAATTTGGACTCCCGAAAAGTCCGTGCTTCTACGACTCATGGCATTACCTGGAAGGAGTCTGTGACATGGAATCAAATTGAGCTTCCAATTGTCTAGCTCACAAAGTCCAGATTGATCAACCTTTTGTTGAGAAATTTGCATGTTCTTCAACAGATCCATGGACCAGTCTCCAATGGGTTTGTGACCTTCAAGAAAACAGTGAAAAGAGTCAGATGATGAAAGCTAAATTTAGGTGTTTCAAGGCATTTCACAATTCTTTGGTCAGCTTAAATGTTCAAAAAGCCAGTAATTAACTCAACAGTCCATCGAGTAGCAATCATAGATCTGATGCATCAAATAAATGATGAGATCATTAATGATTGATATTTGATTAAGATCGGGTTCTTATAATGTAAATAAGCAGCAAACGCGTCATAAACAATTAAACGATAAAACATCTTGTGAATTAACAATAAATTATTTACATGTCACGATACACGACAGATGATGGAAAAAATGATGAAAATCGGCATTTCATTAATTTCGTTACAATAGTTAAACATTAATCTAAACAAAATTGAATAGAAAGTTAGAAACGCAGAAAATGGTAATATTTCACAATTTTGATTTGATAAGACTTGGCGATCATAAAATCATAAATCAAATAGTAATTAATTATTTTAAAATATCTTTTTAAGTAAAAACAAGAAAATTTTCAATCTTATTCGAAATGAACCCAAAACAGTAAGAGAGTGGTACGATATTAAATCAACAGATCTCACTAGTAGCAAAAAGTGGTTTTTGTTTACACTGTGGTTATCAGCAAGTTTAATGTTTTTGATTTGATCAGCAACTGGTTGGAATTATTTCTCAACAAACAGTTAAATACCCGTTAAATAGTCGAGTTTCATGGCTCGTCAAAATTATGATTATCTTTTCAAATTACTTTTAATCGGTGATTCTGGTAGGGTGAACGTGCTTACTTTTTAGACTCAGTGATGATGCTTTCAACTCAACCTTCATTTTTGAATTTGGCGGTAAGAAATTTGTAACCAGCAAGTAACCGGTTATTTGTAACTGGGGGTGAAAGAACCACAGTTACTATTAAATCAACAGATCTCACTAGTAGCAAAAAGTGGTTTTTGTTTACACTGTGGTTATCAGCAAGTTTAATGTTTTTGATTTGATCAGCAACTGGTTGGAATTATTTCTCAACAAACAGTTAAATACCCGTTAAATAGTCGAGTTTCATGGCTCGTCAAAATTATGATTATCTTTTCAAATTACTTTTAATCGGTGATTCTGGTAGGGTGAACGTGCTTACTTTTTAGACTCAGTGATGATGCTTTCAACTCAACCTTCATTTCTACTATTGGTAAGTTTGACATGCATAACCATCTTTCTTAATCCTTTTCTTCCCCTTATACCTTTTGTTTCATTTTGCTTCATTTTCTCTCTCTTCTCTCACAGGTATAGATTTCAAAATTAAGACAATAGAGTCAAGAGGAAAACGTATCAAGCTTCAGATATGGGACACTGCTGGACAAGAGCGATTTCACACGATTACAACCTCTTATTATCGAGGAGCCATTGGAATTATGCTAGTTTACGATATAACTAATCTTAAAAGCTTTGACAATGCAGCAAATGATTGAGAACTATAGATGAACATGCAAACGAGAATGTTGAAAAGATGATAATCGGCAATAAATGTGACATGGAAGAATTATTCCTCGAGAAAAGGCCGAGGCTGTAGCCAGAGAACATGGATTTCGTTTCTTGAAACTTGTGCTAAATCAAATTTGAATATCAGCCAAGCGTTCATGGAACTAGCAGAAGCAATTCTAATAAAGAGAACCGCTGGAAGAGGAAACTTGGAGGCTGCTGATCGAGTTAACATCATCACTCAAACGGAAAATAAAAGCTTAATAAGGTGCTGCAATGTATGAGGAAAATGTTTACAAAGGAAAATCTTGCTGCTGACTTATTTGGGAAAAATTTTTGACTTACCAACCAAATAGTGATAAATTCAACTAAAAAAGAAAGATCAACTGAAAGCAAAGCGGTTGAAACCTAAACCCGTTCGTGTTTATTCTGTTTTTGTTTTTGTTTATGTTTTTGCTTTTTTCCTATTTTTCTTTTTTTTCTTTCTCTCTAAATTACTGTCAAATGTTTATCATTAGATTTAGAAACCACTTTCTAACCAATTTTTCACCTTACCAATGCCCATGGCCATCATTATAACCAAGAAAACGATGGATATAAAAATAATTGATCGCAAAATCAAACATTTGGACGAATTATCGAGAGGAATTGGTCAGAATTACAATTGAAATTACAATTACAAATGGTTTTTACAGGACAAACAAAGCAATCAACAAGATAAAGTCAGGATGGAAGCTCAGAAACAATCATATTATTATTAACTTGCCTCAATAATTGTCAAATTTGGTGTATAATAATAACACAAAATACGGATCTCTTAATTTCTTTCTCATACCCATACACATACACAAATACACACACAATCAACACCAAAATTTTATTAGAGTCTGTTACAATTAAGTGAAAAAAAGCTCAAAACAAATTCTTTTTCTTTATTTTTTCCTTAAAATACTGAAATAAGATGAAATTTTGTTACTTTTTTCACTCTTTCATTACTTTGTTTTCGTTTTTAAGGTTTGATGATAAAGCAAAAGAAAGTCATTAAGGCAACACTACATCATCGTTGCACTTATTTGACTATTTGAAGCGATCAAACCTTTTTTGACTATGTTAGTGAGAAGAAAAGAATAAATTGTTTCTTTTCTCATCTTTCTCATAATTCCAAGAAAAAAATAAACAAATCCATTTACAATTGTCAAACTGAATTAAGTTTCTCTCATTCAATTGATTGTCCATTAACCAATCCGTATTGCTGAAAATTTGAAAAACTTGAGACCAGTCATGGATTACGATGTATTTTTTATATTCAACGTTGACTTTCAACAAGATTTAATTACAATTACTTAAAAATTTAACCACAAAAAAAGATTGAACTGGAAAATAAACTCAATTAAGGTTCATTTGGGTTCATCTGTTTTGTCGATTAATCGAGCGCATAAAAACAGTTATCTCGATAGGTCAATATTTTTTTGTAATCGACATTTTATTCAACAAATGAATGGAAATTAATTGCTAGAAAATAAAATAATTAATCGATTGTTTTCCTTGTAGAGAAATTATATTTTTGAATCATTATTTATTTTCACCTGGTTAATGTTTACATTTCAACTCTTATGTTTTGATTTTTTTACTCTCGTATTCCCAATGCCTATCTTCTGATTGTGTACATCTTCTGACTGACTTAGAGTGTCTTCAACATTACCTGACTCCCTTTAATCAGCAAAAAATCAACCATCAACAAGCGTGTGTGAACCGGTAAAGTGTATAAAGAAGCAAATTATTTCACTGAGTGTTCTAAATTACCAAAAAGCCTACACAAACAGAACCAGAGAAAAGATCATCTTCCCACGTACAATAAGTGGATCAACACAAACACTTATAACTTCATTCAACATCACAGAGTGAGAATCATCTTCACCGTCTTCATCATCTAACAAAACCAATTTTCGTTGTTAAGATACATTTTGCTTCATTTTAAAAAAAGGAAGAACAAGAAGAAAGAAAAAGAAAAAGAAAACAAGTTCACCAGACACAGAGATAAAGAAGAAAGGAAGAAGAAACAAGAGAGTTGTTGCTTCCTTAAAAATTCAACTCCAAATTCACGTACATTTAAGTTAATCTGTTTCATCTTTATCATCACTATTCTCATCATCACCATCAACATTATCATCTCTTATTCATCATAATTATCAACACTATCACCGCCATTATCATCACCATCACCATTGATTTCTTTCAACTTTTCTGGTTACTGTTTTCATCAGCTTCTCTCCTTTTGTTTTCCCTCATCATATTTTTCAATTTGGCTCCATCTAACCTCTTATTGGCTTAAAGATTGACTTGAAACGGCAGGAATTACTGTTTATTAGAACAACTGGAGTTAATTAAAATTAACCAGTTTAATGATTTATCGGATACTGTTCTGCTTCTATAACTGTAAGTTAGTTAATCGATCCTTGACTGTTTATTTGTATTTTTTTTCTTATCCTCTAAACCTTTTCTTCTGAGTTAACTTTATTTTTATTTTTATTCATTAACTTAGGTTGAACATCTTCCCTTGTCTTCACTTGTAAATTATGGTTTGCCCTCGAGTTTGTCATCTCTTACCTCTCTTCTCCAAGTAAATCATATGTTGCTGTGATGTAATTTAAGCATCATTTACATTCACTGATGGATCAGTTTACCATTAAGATGGAGGTCTTTGAACACTTTATGATGAACACTTTTGTCTACTGAATTTTTACCAAAGGTAAGGTTCGCTTTGATTGATTCTTGTTTTCTCTATTTATACCTCATTTTTATCTTGTCACTTATCATCATTTCTCACAAACACACTTTCTATTAGCGTCTTCTGTTCCTATCAGTGTTTCATTTTTATTTCATTAAAGACATCCTCAGATGATTTACCATTAGCCTAGTGAATCCTCATTCTAGCGAGATTGTCGTTCTGATTAGAACTATCGCGGCTAACAAAGAATCATTACTGTTTGTTTGTGCGATGAGTTGATCATCGAAATTGAATTTTAAAAAAAATATTTATTTTGTGTTTTTTTACTCCTATCTTTCCAGTTTTTATAGCTTTATCTTTCTTTTAATCAACATTCCAAGATAAAACGCGGCAATATGCTAAGTGAACACAATTCATCAATAAACATGGATAAAAACATCAGATATAATTGTGAAAAAGACTATGATGAAATTGATGATGACGGTGATGATTATGCCACTCCAATGGTACATAATTACGAGCTTTGTCGGTCACGTTTAACTTTAGACAAGATTATCGGAGAAGGACAATTCGGTGACGTATACCGAGGCACTTATCGAACATTAGACGATTCTCTTCTGGCTGTCGCTGTGAAGACATGTAAGTCGGAGAGTGAAAAAACTATGGGAGAAAGCTTTTTAGAGGAAGCTTACATCATGAAACAATTTGACCACAAACATATCATTCGACTAATTGGAATATGCTCAGAATCTCCTTACTGGATCGTCATGGAGCTGGCTAAACACGGGGAACTTCGGGCATTCCTTCAGAACAACAAAGATCATATTGAATTAAATCGTCTCATTATGTACGCTCATCAGTTAAGCACTGCTTTGTCTTACCTCGAAAGCAAAAAATTTGTACACCGTGATATTGCAGCTAGAAATGTTCTTGTCTCATCCTGGGACTGTGTAAAATTAGCTGATTTTGGTTTATCAAGAGTTCTGCAAGAGGATTCTTGTTATTATAAAGCTTCAAAAGGCAAATTACCTATTAAGTGGATGGCTCCTGAATCAATAAACTTTCGCCGATTCACCGTAGCATCAGATGTTTGGATGTTTGGTGTTTGTGTTTGGGAAATTCTCATGCTAGGTATTAAACCCTTTCAAGGTGTCAAAAACAGTGAAGTGATCCATAAAATTGAAAATGGAGAGCGACTACCATTACCACCATATTGTCCACCTCGTCTTTACAGCTTGATGTGTCAATGTTGGTCTTATGGTCCCTCAAAACGACCAACATTCCGCGAAATTCGACAGGTTCTACTTGAAATACTAGAGGAAGAAAAATCTCAGTCATCATCTGAACCATTTTCAAATTTTCATAGAAAAGAGTTAAACAATAACTGGGGAGAAAGAGATCAACCAGCTAGCCTTTCTTCATCATATTATTGTCCTAGTGTTGAACCGCCTCGGACACCAATGAAAAAAACGATTAGCCACTCAGACAGAATCAGCTCGAATCCAGGAACTCCTACTCTGGCTCCATCAACTTATATCGTGGCAACGAGTCCGGAAGTGTTAGCTAGGTTAATGAACGAAAATGAAAATAGTATTCCTCCTGCTTGGGCATATACCGCACCGGCATCGCCTTCTAACACTTATGCTATTGAATCAGCGGATCTAGAGGTACAGGTTTGTTGTTTCAGCTAATTAAGGTTACTTAACTCATTAGAATCATTGATTAGATAAAAAATTAACATCTATCTACAATCAAATTCCCTCTTTACTGAAACAGGAATCGACTAAGGTCAAACGCGAACAACTTGAAACTAAATTAAAACAACAGCTTAAAGAGTCTGAGGAAGATTCGTTGTGGCTTCAACAAGAGGAACGTGAAATGTTTGCAGCTATCAACCAACGACATTCATGTAGTGATTTAAGTAATAAAAGTGCAGGTTTTGAGCCGTTATCACCCACGAGTAGCATTGGCTCGTTTCACTCATGTGATCTTTCAAATCCTGATTATAGTATGTATTAATTGAATCTTTCATTGAACTTTTCACGAATATCAATTTTCTTAATTTTTCCAGGTCTCCCTTTAACTCATAATAGAAAGAAAATGGAAGCCACTTCTGCTTCATCTCTCGGGACCAGCCCATCACCAAGCGTAGGTTCAGTATCATTGCCTCAACCCACAGCAGAACTGGACCGAAGCGAAGATCTAGTCTACAGGTTTACCACCAATGTGGTTTACTCTGTTCGCAATTTATTTCAAGGTGTTCAGGAGAGTAAAGTTGACAGTTACACTGATCTCGTTAAAGCTGTAGGTCAAGAGCTTCGAGGCTTACTTGCCTCAGTTGATGATTTAATTATCAATCTTCCACTCTGGTCTCACCGGGAAATCGAAATGGCACATAAAGTTCTATCCAAAGATATGGGAGCGTTGATTCAGGCAATGAAAAATGCTCAAAAGTATAGTCGGACAACTGTTGAACGAGAATACAGACGAGTTATGTTGCAGGCAGCTCATGATTTAGTTGTGGATGCCAAAAATCTTCTAGATACTGTTGATTCAGTCCGATTACGTATTTCATTGGGCTCGTCTGGTGGTGAATCCTTTACATTAAACTCACGATCCCAAAATATTGTCAATCCCTCCCCTCAAAATACAATTGAAAGGAGGTCGTCTTTGAGAAAAGACGATCTTCGCATAAACCATGCTAACAACTTCAAGATGAATTAAAATATGCATTAAAGACACTGAAAGTGATAAGATATTTCAGTTTAAACTCTAGAGCTAGTGTTAATATATTTTAAAAACAAAGTTCTTTTTAATTTCAACACTCAACTTATTTATACATGTAAAAAAGGAAAGGTTATACGTGTAAAATGAAGGAAATACTGTCGTAAAACGACAATGAAGAGATCTGAGTTATCTTGAATTACATTCATAATAATGAAAACATAAGTAAAGAATATAGAAATAATATCAACTACAACGATAATTGATAATAAAAAAAACAAACAAATCATTTTGTTTTCTGGAGTAGGTATATGACTTGATTTCCGATGGGACACACACGATTTTTTCCCTTATTTTACCAATTTTAAAATCATTCAATTTGTATATTATTCAGAAACGGGTATGGAGAGAGGTTTGGCCTTGGGATTTTCAAACCTATCCATGGTTTCAATTGTTGATAACATGTATACTCCGAAAGATACAATTGATATGAAGAGAAGAAGAGCCAAAAGACCCATCCATGTGCCGAGGGTGAACCAAGTTGCACAATCGTAAGAGTATGTGAAATGTTCTTTCGTATTTTTGGCTTTGAAAGGCTGAAGCTGTAATCTTTTTATTTGAACGATGGCAAAATCTTTGGAGGTATCTTTACTCGATTTGATGCTTTGAACTATAGCAGATGAACAACTAAAGGAGAATGTGTCTGCGGCAGTTAACTCGGTGGCTTTCAGATTAAATTCTTGCGCTGAAATGAAAGAAAGAAATTTGATTAGAAAACGAGTTTAGATGAACCTGAAATGCAAAATGCAGTCTTACAGTCGATTTTGATCGATGCCTTGTCTACAATCCAATAACGGTTAGCCTTATTAGATGTTATAGTTAAATCCAAGTCAATTGAAGATGCGTTTTTGAGCCCAGTTGTGAAGGACAGTGTAAGGTTGGAGCCTACAGCTTGTCCTGTTGGATTTGGCTCCGTAATACTACAGTCACTTTTGACTACAGGTTTATTAGTTTTGGGATTTATCGTCTCAAAGTATGGTTTCTCGTTGATTTCCCATTCGACTTGAATGGAATTCATCCATAGTACAACACAATTTTCCACAATGATGAGGCAGCCATCGACATTTTTATCAGAATAATTATCACTACACACCTCTATCTTTGCTTGACTTGCAACTTGACTGAGTTGACTACAAGAAAACAATATGAAAAAAAGTGTAAGAGGTATATTTAGACTAGACATTATGGAGCAACTAAATACAGGAATGATGGATGATTATTTTAAGAAAACAAAAAATAAATTAAATTAGCTGAATCTTTATCCAGAATTGATTTCAAATTCAACCATAAAACAGATGATGGAGAGTTGATTTTTATTTTTCTTCTCCAATGTCACTCAGCTCAGCCAAACATTGAATACCGATACTATCGATATTCTCGATTTTCAGCCGGTTGAGCAGATTTTGTTCATGTTCACACTGACTCTTTAAACTCTTCTTTCACCACCTTCAATCAACTGTTTGTCCTTTAAAAACAAAGTGATCGTGTAAGCAATTAAATTGGTTTAGATTTGGTTATTTAAATTTGTGTTCTTTTTTGCTATTTAATTTATCTAAACATGAATACAATCTGCAGGACCATTGTAGGTTTTTTTTCTATTTTGCTACCATCTGCTTTTGAAAATGCTTTTGCATTTCTAATGTTTTTTCCCAATCGTATTTAATCATTATTTATAATTGTTTTCCATTTTCCAGAGGTGTACATTATTCTCTGCTGCTCGTCAATCAAGTCAATTTAATGGTTTACAATCATCACGTAATAATACAACAGTCACTCTCATACCTGGTGATGGTATTGGGCCGGAGATCTCCAAATCAGTTCAAGAAATATTTGAAGCTGCCAAGGTAACATTTTTTAGTTGTTTTTAAAGGGTTATTCGAGATCAAGCTGGAAAAGATGCAATTTTGTTGTATCTCAACTTTTCTTTTTTTTGAGGTTAACCATCTATTCAATGCGTAATCTTACATTTTTTTTCTTCATTTTTTCAGGTGCCAATTGAATGGGAAATTGTTGATGTTACTCCCGTAAGGTACCCGGACGGCAAATATGGAATACCTACCAAAGCAATTGAATCTTTTTTGAAAAACAAAATTGGTCTGAAAGGACCACTTGCAACGCCAATCGGCAAAGGACATCGATCTCTAAACTTGGAAATCAGAAAGTAAATTTCGATATTTCCATCTGTTTCATATATAACAAATTAATTTCTCTTTTTTTATTCAGAGTTTTCTCGTTGTATGCCAATGTAAGGCCATGTAGATCAATCGAAGGTTACCAAACATTATACGATGATGTTGATGTTGTTACAATCAGAGAAAACACTGAAGGTGAATACAGTGGTATCGAACACGAGGTAAGTGAAAAAGCAACATTAATTTTGAAATTTGCCTTAAAAATTAATCTTTTAATTATTTCTTATCGACTAGATTGTTCCTGGAGTCGTCCAAAGTATCAAGCTAATTACTGAACCTGCTAGTCGCAGAGTTGCCGAATATGCTTTTAATTATGCCAAAGCAAATGGACGTAAAATCGTGACTGCTGTACATAAAGCAAATATAATGTGAGCATAGTTATTTTTCGAGTTTTCATTATTTTTGTAAATGATTAAACTAATATGAAATTCTTTAAACCAGGCGTCTTTCTGATGGTCTCTTCCTTCAATGTTGCCGAGAAGCAGCAGAAAATCACCCTGAAATCAAATATAAAGAGATGTATCTTGATACCGTTTGTTTGAATGTAAGTAGTAAACAAAATCTTTCATTGTCGAAGAAATACTTTCTATTGAAAATAGTTGTAATTAGATGATATATTTAGTCATCTGCACAAACAACAAACTGAATTATTAGTAGAAATGATTTCGAAATTTCTTGTTCCTTTCAAATTGATGTGTCCCAATTATATTAATGACAATAGCAAATAGAAAAAACTAGTTTTTTCATTAATGTCTCATAGCTTATAATTGTTTATTAATGCTATATGATAATTTATCTAATATGATTTTATTTGTTTCAACTGATTAGATGGTTCAAGATCCAAGCCAATTCGATGTTCTTGTCATGCCAAACCTTTATGGTGATATTTTGAGCGATCTGTGCGCTGGACTAGTCGGTGGTCTTGGTTTAACTCCAAGTGGTAACATTGGTAAAGATGGAGCTGTTTTCGAATCTGTGAGTTTTCCTACTTTTATTATTGCTAGTCATCATCACTCATCGTCATTTAAACTAATTATTTTCTTTCTCTCTAGGTACACGGAACTGCCCCTGATATTGCAGGTCAAGATAAAGCCAATCCAACTGCTCTACTTCTCAGTGCTGTAATGATGTTGAGACACATGAATTTACCAGATCACGCTAATAACATTCAATCTGCTTGTTTAAGCGTTATCAAAGAGGGAAAAATGTTGACTGCTGATTTAGGAGGATCTGCCAAATGTTCTGAATTCACCAAGGAGATATGTTCACGACTAGGCTAGTGTTTAGAATTAACAATGACCATTAAAGATCACATTTTATGATAGTAATCATCTACTATCCAACTGAATTAGGCCACTGCTTAGGAACATCAAGTATTTTACTGCCTTCTCCATTTTCGCTCTTTCTCTTTCTCTTTTCTTTTGCTGTTTTTTGTCAGATAAAAGCATGGGAAATTGCAGTTTAAACCTTTCCGCTAATCAATTAAAGTTAATATTAATGCTAGTGAAAACTTAATTTAACGTTTTTTTTTTGAAAAAATACCTTGCCCCTAGAGTATATTTAGAAATGATCTTTTTAATAACCTAAATATAGAATGAACGATGTACTTATATCTAATACAGTTGGTTGATCAATCATTTAGATTCAGGTTATCATATCATTTCAAGATATTTAAAGACTACATTAAGTAAAAAGAAATTATATCAGCAATCATAGATTTCGCTTGCAAGTATACAATAATGATTTAATGCTATTTCATGGTAATTACCTCTAGTAAAATGAAAATCAGGGAATGGAAAAAGGAGAAAATCAGGAATTAAATTCGATAGAATATTTACAAAACGCTTCCAGATTGATAAAGATGATTGAGCATGCAAAAGTTTCATGAGCCAAATAAAATGCCCAAATATGTCAACGCAGTTACTCTATCAGTGAATTGGTGCTTAACTCCTTTCTTTAAGTTCCAATAAGGTTCGAATTTTAAGGCATTTCCTTTGATCATTTTTAACAAATCTGTAGCTTTTCCATCATTCGGTTTATTCACCACTATACTGCTTATTGTGAACCGGTTCATCGAGTCTTTTGTGATGATCTATGGTAAAATAGAATTTAATTAGTAAGTTGACAGTAAAGAATCTTTTGTTTTGTAGAAACCATACCTCTTTAAGCTTTGCGCTTCTCAAAATTAAGACTAAAAGAGTCGCACATCCGAGTAATATTTTATCACTTTTTTTGTGTATTTTGATCATTTTGAGACAAACGTTTGCTATAACTTCTCCGTCGTTGATATACTTGGAACACTTTGAAAACTGCAATACAAAAGATGAATCAATTAATAATAAGTATGAAAAATTAAACAAAAAAACAATAAGTTTGCGGATTTATTTATACCTTGGCGATATTAACGAGAATGCTGATTGATGAGATAATTCTTGGTTTATGAGCTTCACTTCGATTTGCTTCATTAAGAATATGTATCATCATGTTGATTACATTCGATTGGGCGGCTTTAAGACAACATTCAGGTGACAATCGAGTAACGATCTCCATGGTGCACAAATCACCTTCAATGTGTATTCCTCGAGAGTTGTTGGACAACTTGGTCAAAGCAGTCTGGAATCGATATCCTAATTTAGTTTCTTCAGTTGCTGAGGCATTGGCTGTTTGTAAAGCTCGATATATTAGGCGAAAATCCCGATCTCGAAGAGCTACTTTCCGAGTATGATGGCCTAACCATGTGGCTTGGATAAGTGTAGCACATCTATTGAGATACAAAAGTCGATGTCGTTTACAAAGGTCACGGAAATAACATAGAGTACAGTTGCATTTTGATTTAGCTAACGCTGCAGTCAAACGTTTCCTTTTTCGGTTTTTGTAAAGTTTCCAGGCTTGCTGGATGGCTGAGGCTGCTCGTTGAGCTCGCTGATCACGTAGTTCAGGGAAAGCTATTTGTAATTGTCGTTCCAATGGCTTTAATAAATTTGATCCAGACATATTTGAAACACAAAAAAATGAAAACCAATTTTCATAACCAAAACACCAGGCAGATTGAGTCAAAATTATGTAACGGAAGATCTCCAACAGTAGATGCTTGTTTAATAAGATATTTTGGTAGTTTAGACACTGAAAATAGAAAGTAAATCGATGGTATAAAAGTCAAAAGTAAAAATATAATTGTTTTAATTAATAGCGTGTTACATAAAATCTTATGCACTAAACAGTAACAGTTTGGATAGCAAGTTGGCGGTTAACATTTTCAAATTATAAACAGATCCCTACAGCTAGATAAATAAAGCTCCATGGTGATGTCTTTTGATACAATGTTGAGACTGGCAAGATTCCATCAATTGAATCTGCTTCAAGCTTTCTTAAATTAAACCACCATGGCTTTAATTAACCCAGGTAAGATTGACTAGATTTATGTTGAAATCCATTTCAAGTATTGTTCAAAAAGATCGAGACTTTTAAGGTTTAGCTTCATCAATATTTAGCCTTACATTTATTACTTTTCAAACTTTTTACCTCAAATTTCAAACATACAATATTTTTCCACTCACAATCTAATTTGTAGTGATCAACAATGGAAAAATGCTTGAATTTTTAATGAGAATAAAATTACATGATGAAAATTTCCTTTTCAGCATCTAGACTGTTTTCAATAAGACCAACTTGCCAATCTATTAATAATAACTGAAAAGGTTCATAAGCAGAGGATATCGAGTTGACTGAAATTATTCATATACCAATTATCATGGTAACGTACCTTTGAACAAACAATTACAAAGATCGTCATGTAATGACCATGTAAGAATTAATGATGAAAGAGTTAGATCGCTTGATGTTGTTCATATAAATGATATTTTTCTTATATTCCTTGATTAAACCGCCAGCCACTTTAATTAACCTTTCAACATCTGCTAATTTATTATCTTAGATTAACTATTGGTCAAGTTGATGTCAAGGAGTTTTGTTTTTCATCCAACCGCAATAACAAAGAGTAAAAAAAGAAGAGAGATTTGTGATTGTCTCACTATCGCCTCAATGAGACGGTTACTGTGTTTTTTAGTCAAGCTGATGATCCATCGGTTAAATTAAACCCACGTTGAAGACTTATTTCCCAGACAATCCTATTCTATCTTTAATCAGTTTTGAAACCAGATATTCCTTAAACTTTACTCAATCTACCATGTAAATTATCAAATTAATTATTAATTTTGTTAACCCACTTGTGATTAATCTTACAACAAAAAAGTGTATCAACCACCAGAAGGGCCACAAAATCAAACCTTTCAAGCCGAGATTTGTGTTGGGCTATTTTTGCTGTATTTGCCATCTCTCTGTCTACTTACATACTTTGAACGGTATGAAGGCCGATAATATATTTAATGTACTTTAATTATAGTTAATTAATTATTCATCTTAACCATTAATACATTCTCCTGTTTGATAATTGAAAGATGATGATTCGGAAAAGAAAAAAAGAAGCCAATTCAAATCGTAAGGTAAGATATATTTTTCTTTCCTTTTTCTCTGCCTTCTTTTTCTCTTTCTTCTCTCCCTCTCTTTTTGCTAAACATGGTTTGTCTGTCTGTGTCTGTGAGAAAGAGACTATACAGACTAGATGTTGCTAAAAGCTATTTTGTTATGTATTAGATGATCCACAAATTAAATAACTAATTATGCCTTTGTTTAAACATCTCATCAATATTATGTGGAAACAAATACAGATTGGTTTATCCGTATTCATTGACCTTGCCTCTAAAATCTGGACTTTCATATCGTTCATAATAAAAAAATATACTAGAGCTGTAAGTAACACTCTTTTCTCTTTCTCTCACTCTCTTATCGCCTATCTTATTTTCAATGTACCACTGTCCAATGTTATTAGTTTGTTTTCTTATTTTAGATTTACACTACAATTCCTCCAGATGATTAGATAGATAATCCTGTGCCATTTGCTTTATATTAGTCTCATTCTACACGTTCGCTGTATCTTTACTCACGAGGGAAGTACCCGAGGTCATCCGAATAAAAGTTAATATTTTTATCATAAACCAATCAGGTTTAATGAGTGTTTAATTGTCTCGAAATCTCCCGGGTAGCAAATTAAAGATTATCGAGAAAAACGGAATTAAAATTCAATTTTTTACATGTAAAGTATGGTAAAGAGCATACAAAACAAAATGAGTGAAACAAAAAGGCTCATCGCAATGGGTTCATCTTATTGCTTTCACATTGATCTATGCATAGCGATAGACAATAAATGGCGCTTTTCGACCCTTCTGTCCATTTGCTACTCAAAAGACGACGAACTATATTGTTTTTTGCTAAGACGAATTCAATGACACACGAATCATTGAAATCGGTTCGGATGACCTCGGGTACCCCCCTTGTCAGTGTTTTTATCTTGTTGATCAGATTTACATGAAAACAAATGCATATAAACACTGATCTTATCCAATTTGGATACTTTTCCTCACTTTGTTCAATTGATAATTTTCTCAGATAGTGTGCTCGTCTTAAATCATGGTTGAATCATGGAATTCAACTCAATTGCAATTATTTTGACCTTTTCTAGTTTGAATTTACTAAAATAACCCTATCATTTATCTCTCTTTTTCTCCTCACTCCCATTTTTCAAACAGATTATTCAACATCAAACAATTAAATATGATATTGTACCATTATCTCCACTTTCAAAGCACCGTTTAAGTGAGTAAAATGAAACAGGAATAATCACAAGTAATTATTAATTGCAGCATCACATTGTGTTTCTCTAAGAATTGCGTTCATGTTTTGTTGTAATTCCTTTAGTTGTGGTAATACCTGGTTTTCTCTATTTTATGCCAATTTTCCTAATCCATTTTTCTTTATTTTTTTACAGGTTTAGTTAAAAGAAAGATATTAGTTTTAGATTTGGATGAAACATTAATTCACTCAACTCATGATGGAGTGTTACGACAAATGGTTAGCCCCGGCACGCCGGCTGATTTTGTACTCAAGGTCACCATTGACCGGCATCCTGTTCGTTTTTTTGTTCATAAGAGACCTCATGTGGATTTTTTTCTAGAAGTTGTAAGTGTTGAAAGCAGATACAGTTGATTATTGAAAGGGTTTCTTATTTTTGTAGTTCATCTTTAGGTTTTAGATGAAATTTGGTGGTTTCATTATTAGAAACATGACTAACCTACTATTGGTTGAAGGAGTTGCCCGCCAATTTTGAAATTACTAGTGAAGGTTATTTACAATGTATCAGATAAACTGAATTAGCAAATTAGCATTTATACTTTTGAAATTAACTCTTTTTATCATAAATTATAGATGATTTAATAGAGATACATGATTTGAATAAGCTAATTAACTCTTTTTACTTCTAGGTGAGTCATTGGTATGAATTGGTGGTATTCACTGCGAGTATGGAAATATATGGTGCAGCCGTTGCCGATAAATTAGATAATAACCGCAACATTCTAAAGAGAAGATACTTCAGGCAGCATTGTACTTTGGAGTATGGTAGTTACACTAAAGACTTATCAGCCATAAGCCCTGATCTCGCTAGTATTTTCATCTTGGATAACTCACCAGGAGCTTATAGAGCTTTTCCAAGTAATTTTTATTCCTTGATTTATCTTATATTTATTCGTTTAATTTTCATGTAATTTAACTAATGTTTATATTTTCACCTCTTCTTTACAGATAATGCAATACCTATCAATTCTTGGTTCTCTGATCCAAGGGACACTGCATTACTAAATCTTTTGCCTGTTTTAGATGCTCTAAGGTTCACAAGTGATGTTAGATCGGTTCTGAGTCGTAACTTACATTTACATAATATGTGGTAACCTCATTATTACAAGGATAACACTTAAATTAAAGCAAAAAAATATATGTAAATGAAACTTGTAAATATGTGTAAATGATAAGATGTTAACTGTCTTTTTGGGAGCCTGAGTTACAATTAGCTTTCCCTTTCCATTGAAAAAAACCCTCCATATCTCCTCTGGAATCCTTTATTTTTTTCATGAAACTCATCGATGAATCAGAGATTGACTTACATATTATCATTTTCCTAATTCAATTTTCTTTTGATGGCTTTCATCGAGATTCACACGTAGTCTAACTGCTAATTGCTCTCTGTATCAAAACTAGCAAACAAATTTTTGTAAACTTGATTGTTAACCCTTACTTTCCTACTTCCGCCCTTTTACTCTTTCCTCTATCTTTACCCACACACTTGCAGATCTTTTTGTCTAGTACAAACAATAACGACAGTTAAGATGCTTATGACGATGAAAATGATTATCACTTGGTACTGTTGAACAACAACCTATTTAAACCAAAACAAGGGCTCAAATCATGTAAATAATTGTGAATATCACCCTGAATCACCTCTTTCTCAAAAATCAACATTTAAAATGGAGTCATCTTCATTACCTTCTAGGAAAATGCAAATAAATTGATATTCATATTAATAAATTAATTAATAAAGAAGATCAAATGTTTGTTTTAATTTTCCATGCTTATCAACTTCATCTAACCTCATCTATCAAATCAATCAATACGTGATTACAAATAGTACCGCTAAGTATTTAAATCACTTTCAAAAGTGTTTTATCTCTCATCTTCAAGTCCATCATAACACAACTACAAGAACCTCTTGATTCTGGAATTTAGACGCTATTTTACAAATGATTTTGAGTTGAACCTTCAACAGTCACTGCCACTTATCCCACCACTACAAGGCGTTGAAAATACCAATGAGAATACCAAAAAGATAGACAATTGGAATACTCCGCTTCACTGAATTTCAAAGTCAATTTCACTCCGACATTAACATGTAATCAGTCGTTAATAATAGTTTCTTATTCGTCAATTCGCAGATTCTATTTGCTTTTGTACAATTGTCCAATCCTAGTTCATCCAATCACATGATGAGAAATCTCAAAATATCTGATGAAATGGAAGCCTAATTATCAAAATCGACTTTACTGGGATCACAATGTAAAAGGTTAAAGTGGCTTACAATTGTTAGATCAGTGTTCAAAAGAATGCTATTCACTTTTCATCATGTTTACACTAAAATTCATTATTTGCAACTTTTATCGTGTTTCGCTTCAGCTTGAGGAATAGGTTTCGGAATATTTATACAATAACGGGTAGAGTTGAATGAAGTTTAATGTAAAGCAAACAAAGATTCTTGATTTTCATCAAATGTACCATCAATTGGAACTCTGAAAGGATGTTTAACTATGACAGAACCCAAGGTGTTAATTAACGTTTAAAAAGCATAATTATCATCACTGTGGTACTAACTGATTCGGTGATAGATAATACATGTATTAGATGATAGTAGAGACTAATTGTACATCTTCTGTTTTGATCATTTCTGATCTCATCGCTGAATTTATCTTTTAGAAATTTTTCAGGAGACTTGCTTATCGCAATACTTTATCACAACCATTTGAACAATTATATTCGTCCTCACAAAATTTCAACGAAACAGACAGAAGTGAAATTAAGTTATTGTTGAATTGAGTTAGGATTGCAGTTTATTCAATATGCAAAAGTATCTTGTTACAGTTTAATGTACATGCACAGATTATTTTCAATTTTTATTTGATGTGATATTAACTGATGAATGATTGGATCCATCAAATGATGGGATAGCGATAATGATAGTAAGTAAGAAACTGAACAATGTTGATATGGAAGCGGTGGTTATCATGATAATGCCTCCAAGTGAGAATCCAATTCCATCGTAATTGAGAAACAATGAAATCTGAAAGAGAAACATTAATAAAGTAAATGAAAAAAAGTGAAAAATGGATTAAAATGAATAAAGCAAATAGACCAACCTCATTTTTAATTGCTGAATAATCTGCTTTGAATGATAGTTTATACACCATTGCCAATACATCTTGTGATTTAGTATATACATTAACAGTCGCATAAATGATTAGAAACAAATTCATTATCATTGCAAAGTAACCAATAGTTAGATATAATCTCCTAACCAGACTTTGTTGAACGAATAGTCCAAAGTAAAGTATATAAACGAAAAGATTCAAGAAAATTATGCAATGAAACAATAAACAAGGACTAACATACTCATTCATCTTATTGACTAGACGATGAGTTAAAAAATACTTGAGCCGAAGATCATGAACAACATTGATATTCAGTCTTTCATTGGTTTTAGATGCTTTGTAAAGACGATTCAATTGTAAGTCGATGTATTTGAGTGCTGTTTGTGATAGAACCAGTAAATCAAATAAAATAAATGCTTCAAGAAAAATGTATGGATAAACAGTTAGAAAGCGTATAAATTTAGTCCAGTAATGAATTGAATTTTTCATGTATATACTTTTATGCGTAGATTGGTCAGCGTCTGAATAAGGCCAAGTACGAATATTATTTTCAATATCATAGATGAATGAGAATACTATACTGCTAGTGTACAATAGATAATAAATAACTTTACGAGTCCAGAAATATTTTCTAGTTTCATTATCGAGGTCGATCTGCAGTTCATTCCAGTGTTTCTCAATTTGCTTCAAAAAAGTGTGATTATACTTGGAATAAAAGAAAATATGGAGACAATTTTCAAATGAAGCGCCAATGATTAGATAAAAATTAAGGTCAGAAACAGAATCTAACGAAATATCGAGTAATCTAAACAAATATTTGAGATTCAATAAAATAAACATTAACATGCAAAAACATTTGCCCCAAACTGAAGCCGTCGATGAAACACTCAATGCCAGTTTCGATGAAGTTGAATAAATGGATATTTTTGGATAATCTGTTGGTTCATTGTTTAGTATCCAGTCTTTAAGTACTTTGATAAAAACCATCTTATATCATGAAGTATTGTTATAGATAGAAGAACATGAAAACTCAATTCAATAAAATTTCAATCCATTTAATTCAATATCTTACTTGATACGAGATGAACAATAATATCGACAGAAGAGGTGGAAAATCTAACAAGAAGTGTATGAAGTACGGATAAATGGCTTGACGCGGGTAGCGACACGATTAAAAAGCAAACACTTTCCAAAATATAATCATGAAAATACAAAAGTAGAATGAGTTTAAAAGATCAGTTCCAATCTTGTGAATGCAAAATGAGTCTCATTTAAAATCAAATGCAGTTTCATTTAAGTTCAGTCTGAAATTTAAAAACACTAAAGTAAAAAAAATTAAATGTTAATATTTGCTATTATACTTTCATAATTTTTTTATGTTAAAATGATTAAATAACTATTATCTTGTTCGTTGAATAATTGAAACAATTGACCAGTAATGATCAATATTATGTGAACAGACTAACAATATCACGTAATCGATAATGGTGTTCAAAATTAAAAATGACCAGATAACATGCTAGCGTCAAAAATTGTAATGATGTCACCATGAATCTCATAGGATAACAAAATCGGTAAATTATTTCCAAATTCAAAATCAAGTCAACCTTTTAATAGCAAATGTCCAAATCAAATCAAAACCAGTTAAGTTGTACTGTTTTGAAATAAAATTAATGATAATTTATGCTCAAAAGTTCGCAATTTACTTCCCTGCCTGCACCAACATTACAATGTTCACCATTTAAATGTTTTTGAGGTCGAAACCGAATCCATCAACCAATAATGAAATCTTTAAAACAAGATTCCGTAGGACAACAAAATGCAATCAAACAGTTATTTCCAGAACTCGAATAAGGTTTGGTTAGTCATTATGAATGCATCTCAATACTTTCTCAGTTCAGTACAGTAAATGAAGCATTTGTTTTTAGTTATTATGCAGTAAGTTGATACTTTTATTGCGAATAGGGTATTACATTGTATTTCGTATATTTATTAATATTTTACATTTCGAGACCTTTTTAAACAACTAATGGACGACAAAATATTTTAATGTGATTGTTACCTGAATACACCAACACAGCCAAAAGCTTTAACTAGCGAATGATGGAATAGCGATGACAATGGTCATTAAAATGCTGTACAATGTCGATAAAGACGAAGTCGTAAACATGAAAAGGCCACCGAATGAGAATCCAATTTCATTGCAATTGAGAAATAATGTAATCTAAATAAGAAAAAAAATCATGATTAACTTAGAAAAGAATTGAATGATGATCATGAATGCGAACAAACCTCATTGAGAACCCTTATTGAGTCAGTTTTGAGGGATAATTTGTATACAGTCATCAATATTTCTTGAGATGTCGTATGAACTTGAATAGCTGAATGCGCAAGTTTGGAGAAAGATATTAGGAACAAAACACTCATACTAGCCTGCGTCCATTTGGTTCGATGGCTTTCAAGGTATAATAAATTATAAAATAAATGGCAGCTATTTATCACGAAAAGAATAAAAATAGAGCATGAATAAAGACTCATTGTTTCATTGATTTTATCGACTAAACGACGAGTCGAGAGATACTTTTGACGAAGATCTTGAATAACATCAATATTCAGTATCTTGTTATCTTTTACTGATTCCTTGTAGAGTTTATTCAACTTTATCAAGTTGAATTGAAGTGCTGATTGTGCTAAGATGGATAATTCAATGTGGATAAAAAAATCACAGAAAGTGTTGAAATAAACTACTGGAAAAAAGATAATCCACACCAAATGGAATATAACGTTATCCTCGATAGAAGAGACATCATGCAAAAGCGAATGTTCCAACAAATAGAATACGCAACTAATATAATAGATCGTAATTTGAATTACAGTGAATATAGAAAATAAACGGCCGATAACCATTTGAGTCCAAAAATATTTCCTCGTTTCATAATCAAAGTTTATTTGTAATTCATTCCAATGATGTTCAATTTGTCTCAAAAAATTATGATTATAATTGAGATACATGAAAATTGCGACAACATATTGGATGGAATCCTCGACAATTATTCCTAGTCTGGATAGTGGATGTGAATTTAAATTACTTTCCCATAATTCATTTAAAAAAAGTATGTAACCCTGAAGCATGAATAATATGAATAAACATTTTGCAATTTTATTACCTGTTGATGAAATGACCAATTTATACTTGGATACGATCGAGTTGACAGTTACTTTTGGGTAATTTTTTAGCTTCCCGTTTTGTATATTACATTGAACATTGATAGAAGTCATTTTGTCGAAGCATAGGAAGTCAAATGAATGCAAAATGCTTATCCATTTCATCTCTTCATAACACAGAAATCATTTTAATAAAATCAATTAATATGAATGAATCCATTTTAATTAATACTTTGTATAAAGTAATAATTATTTAAAAGCATTAAATTTCAAAATTTGCTCAGGCATTGAATAATTAAAATCAAAAAACAAGTACAGGTAATCAATATTCGAGTCAAACGTTAAACGACGTTAGACGCATTTCGAATAACATTAGAATGATCTAGTATTTTCGCACCATGATTAATTGAATTCAAAAGCACGTTACAGTTCGATTTGTATTGGTAGTTGAATTATTATCGTTCGATGCTTACAGAGACATTGAGTATGGTTGCTGATGCTCATTAATATAAACAAATCAATAAAGCTTATTGGAGTATTTTTTAAGTAAGTAATGAGTAATGCGTGATCTACTGTCCTGATAAAAAAGGTAAACTGGCTAGCAACCTAAGATACAGACTGTGGCCTTCATTCAATCTGTGGTTATTGAGATAATATCATTTCTTTTCAAATCACAGTTGTGTACAATTCTGATATTATTCAGCTAATTTTAATTTCAGTAATCTGTTAACATGGAGCAAACTTCAAAAAATCACAGAATCGATATTCTCAAGTGTTTCATCGCTTGTGAGAAGCTACATAATCGACCTAGCCCAAAGCCTAGTTTGTTTCGTTTCTCAATGACACTCAAAATTATTGTGATAAAATACATAAAATATGAATAATTTTTTTATAAAGTAATCATGATTAAAAAGCTATCAACTTGCGAAATCAACTTAAGCGTTGAATAATTAAAATCGACAAATGATGCCTTGGAAATTCGTGAAATAGCAAGTAATCAATATTAGATTCAAACGTTAATCGACATTAGACACATCCAATGTATTAAATAACAATGTAACGACCCAGTAACAAATCATTATTAGTTGAATCCAAAAGGTTTGACGAGATTTACGTTACAGTGCATTTTTTATTAGAATTGATTCGCATTATTTTATTACAGAAATTTTTAATGGTAACACAAACTTGCAACACTTTACCTATTGAAATACTGATTATCGATGAGATTTATCGCAATGATAATTAACAACGAAATTTTGAGAACTTAAACGAGAAATCAAGAAAGAAGAAGAAGTAAAATAAGATGCTGCGTCTTGGAGATCCAAAGTCATAACGAACATGCAGAAGACATTGTCCAGGTCTCAAATAAAAATTTGATTTTTCGTGATCAAGAAATGCAACAGCAAAGCTTGTAATGTTTGATAATTGATTTTTGTATTAAAGAGATTTTCTGTCGGACGTTTTGTAACCGAACTGGTGTCGTATAAGCATGAATGTCTTAGGAAAACATTAATTAGACTGCGAATATTCGAGTGATATAAAAAAAGAAATTATTAATAAGTGTCATATACACTGCAATAAATGGCCGTGATTCAAATAATAATCGTAATATAATGAATTAATCGACGAAAAAGCAATCAAATGATCGTTGAAGTCAAAAATTGAGTCAAATTCGCCAAATTTCATGAGCAAATAATATCTACAATTTACGCCAGCCATTTAATTTACATTTCCAATAAAAATAAAACTAAAACTAAAATAAAACTAGATGCCATTTTGAAATGATATTTACTTATGGTTTATCTTTGCAGAATTGAAATCAAAGAAAATGAAAATTATTCGATTTTATTCTAATTGCTCTATTCAATTTATATTTAAGTTTTATCAAGCTGAATGAAATGACGGAATAGCAATGATTATTGAAATTGTTACAAGAGCCAGAGTAGATGTGAAGTCTGGAGTGATCATGAAAAGGCCACCAAAAGAGAATCCAATATCATTGAAACCGATACGGTAAAGGAACAGGGAAATCTGAACGAAAAAGATTCGATTAAAATGTTAATGCAATTTAAGTTGGCATAGGATTCCGTTACAAAACTCACCTCATTAAGAACGTGAAATGAATACGTTTTAAACGATAGCTTATATAAAATTGGTAAAGGTTGTTGAGATTTGATGTAAATGGCTACAACTGAATGAGTTATCAGACAGAGTTCAAGAAGTATTCCCATAGATGCAAACATTGAACTAATTTTGATTGGTACAATTTGCTTATCAAATGCCAAAGTATAAAAGTCGACGATTACGAAGTACACATAATGACTTATCAAACCAAATGTAGCAAGATTCATGAACGAACTTGATTCATCAACCAATCGATGAATCAAAAGATATTGCCAGCGAAGCATTTTGATAACCTTATTGTTCAACTTATTGCCCTCAACTTGCAACTCTCCACTAACCGCATTCAACTTATCATTGATGTTATGGAGTGTTACTTGAGACAGCATTGCTAAATCGATTAAAATTATGTCTTGTGATAGAGCGAAAGGATAGTAAATTGCAGTTGACAAAATGGACAGCCAATAATCCAACGCATCGTTCGGTGTTGAGGCAGAAGTTGCACTCTGATGTGGCCAAGAATGCTTGAAAACATGCATATCATGTAGAGCTTGTGGCATGTAACTTAAAATAAGCAAAATTCTGTAGATTATTCGATGAGTCCAGAAAAACTTTCGAGTCTGATGGTCGTAATCAATGTTTATAACTTGATATTTAGCGATCACTTTGTCCAAGAATTGTTGATTATATTTAAAGTGGAAAAGAGAGAAATTGAAAAGTTGAAATGAAAAATGCAACACTTCCAAAGGATTGAAGGAAAAGGTTGAATCCAATGAAATTTTGATCAGTATCGTCAAGTGTCTCGAAAAAATTAAAGACAATATAACCAGGAATAAGCCATTCCCTGTAACTCCATTTGACGATGAAACGATCAAATTCAATCTTGATGAAAGAGAATCTATGGAAACTTTTGGGTAATTTACTTCATTTTTACTTAATAAACTTTTCAAAATTTTAATGTCGGTCATCATTTTGAAGTTGATTGTATGGAATTCGCACTCAAAAATAAAATAATAAGTTTGAAGAGTTTAAATATTGTTTGACAAACTCAAAATATGATTCAAAAAGGGTTTGGTTTCATTAATTTTAAAGGTGCAAAAGGCATTAAAATTTGACTATTGAGACGATGTTTCACAAAATATTAATGTATTCATGAATTTAATGCAAAAATTAATAAATCATTCCGAGTACAGCTAAATGTTATATCAGGAAAACAGCCCAATGAACATAAATTTTTTTGTGAATAAAAATTGAATCACAAAACAGTCAAAAATTTTGGTGATCAACTGGAGAGTCACTTTTGACTCACATTTGATCGTGCTTTGCTGAAAAATCCCAACTGTCAGATTCATAAATTTTCGTACAAATTTTGAGTGTAATTTTTTTATTTTGATCACCTTCTCAAGATTCTAAGCGCAATAAGTTGATGAAACCGGTGAATCACACGAATCAAGAACATTTTGGTTTTTAAAAATTTATCAAGTTTGAAGCATTAAGTGAACTTAGATCATAATTATTTGCATGAATCACAAATAGCAAAAAATTCAATCTTTCTAAAAATCGAAAGTACAGTTTATTACGAATCTTACTTATCTTTATGTTAGATAAATTCAATGAAATTTTTAGAAACTTAATAGAAATAAAAAATAAGAATCATGGACAGAAAAGAAATTAATTTTCATGATTCAAAAAGTTGAGAATCTAGAATATAATGTGTGGTTATGATTAACTGAATCTTACAATTATTTGATAGATAAACTGAATAAAATTTTCAAGATTCATCTGGAAGGAAAAACTAGAATCATAGTGCCATGAAGCAGAATCAACTATAAAAGATTCAATAACTCTTTGTGACTTAGAAAATTATCAAGCCCCGCAACATAGACCTTAATTATAGCAATAAGGATTATAGGATCCTTACTGTAGCCAAGGGGTATAAGGCACAGCAAAGTGCCAAGTGGGTCCTGGGTTCAAAACCAGCTATTTACAGGTAAGTTTATTAATAGTGACGCAATAAACATAGTAGCGATTCTTGAGTTGAAGAATCTTATTTTGAAGAATAATTGAAATGTTGAATCTCAGATTTTTGGGATTCATATACTGCGAATTTAATAATTTTCTTAAATTTTTTGATCGTTTTGGGACTCAATTTTTATCCATTTTTGAGTCACAAAATTTTTTTACTCCCAAGTGAGTCAATTGTCCTATTTTGACTGTTTTTTGACTCACTTGGGAGTCACATATGTTCATTGGGAGGCAACTGCTAGAGAACTTATTTTCTTATTTTTCGAACCTGTATTCGAACCATTTAATCGTAAAATCTCTTTTGGAGCCTTTTTTGTTTAGCTATTCGAGTCTAAAGTTTGACAAAAATCTTGATATATTGACTTTATATACTGTATAAATGTGTGGCTAACAACAGCTTTCGAATTTAATCGACCATTAAAATCAAATGTTCAACGTCAAAATTGGAATTTGTGACCGTGCTATGCGTCGAAATATTGACTTATGTGTACCGATTTATTTTGATTTCAAATGCACCATCACAAACCGAAAGTTTTAACTAGCGAATGATGGAATAGCAATGACAATAGTGGTTAATATACTGAACAATGTCGATAAAGACGAAGTCGTCAGCATGAAAAGGCCACCAAATGAGAATCCAATTTCATTGCAATTGAGAAACAGCGTAATCTAAATAAGAAACAAATTATGATTAACTCAGAAAATAATTGAATGTCAATTATGAATGCGAACAAACCTCATTAAGAATCCGTACTGAGTCAGTTTTGAGGGATAATTTATATGCAGTCATCAATAATTCTTGAGATTTTGTATGAACTCGGATGACCAAAAACGCATGCAAGGTTAAGGATAGCAATACTGAAATACAATGAAAAAAGCTCATAAATATAGTCAGTTGATGCAAATCAAGAAAAAACAAAGCATAAGATAAATGGCAGATCATAAGCATAAAATTTATAAACATTATAAACAAACACGGGCTCATGATTTCATTGATTTTATCAACTAAACGATAAGTTGAGAGATACTTTTGACGAAGATCTTTGAGAACATAAATATTCAGATTTTTATCATCTCTTATTGATTCATTATAAAGTTTCTTCAATTTGATTGCGTTAAATTGTAGAGCTGTCTGTGCTAAGATCGGTAAATCAAAGTAAATACAAGTTTGACAAGCCCAATTGAAATAAGATGCTGGCCCAACAATAATAAGAAACACGTAAGGAAAGACAACGCCGATAAAAGATTCTTTGCTCGAATTAGTTGTTCCTGCACAACCAACATAGAACAAGTAACTGTAATTCATTATAAAGGAGCTTGAGTACATGATGATTGTGTATAAACGGTAAATAGCCTTTTGAGTCCTTAAAAATATTTCCTCGTTTCATAATCGAAGTCTATTCGTAATTCATTCCAATATGCATCAATTTGTCTCAATAGGTTATGATTATAATTGAAATGAAAGAAAGTTATGTAAATATTTTCAATTAAAAACTCGACAACACTTTTTGGCGAAACTGTGAAAATTGAATCTGAAGAAATCTTAAGGATTGAATCTAAATGCTTTGTATTCAATACAATGACGGTTAATATGAATAAACACTTTCCAGAAGCACCACTTGTTGACGAAGTCATTAATTTGAATTTGGATGCAATCGAGTTTATTGTTATTTTTGGATAACTTTTTGGCTCTTCATTTCTTACAAAACACCGATGTGTATTGATGCAAGTCATGATATTAAATACAGAAGTTGAATGAATGCGAAAAAACTATTTAACCTTCATGAATACAATAAATCAGTCTCATTGAAAACCAAAGCAAAGTATGATTACTTTTTTAAATTGATTAATTGTTAATATTTTCATTACATTTAATACTTTTTACAAGCAAAAAGCAACAAAACTTTAGTTTTGAATAATTCAAATCAACCAAATGATATCTTGAAGTCCCATAATTTATTCACACAGTTTATCAAGTAATCGATATTGAACATCAGCAAACATCAAAACTGTCGTTCAAAAAGTTTTCATTAGGTGAGTCGAGCCAAAAAGAATCCAGCAATTTTTTCCTTTCATTTCAAAACGAGCTTCACTGTGTCAGCATAAGCGATATTACAAGCAATACAAATTCAATATTCCTAAATATTTGCAACGGTTTCAATACAAGAAAGTAATCCTCATTCAAGACTCGGACTTTCTCACTCTATTTCGTTGCCAGGCATTGATATTGATAATATAGCTAGACAGTGCTGAAATACTTTCTAACAAATGTCAGTCCATTTCGGTAAATGGCGCATTTTCTTCTAGTTCTTATGCGATAAATACAATGTAATAGTAAATTTTGATGCAATTTGGCCCAATCAATGAGTATTTTCGTGTTTATTAAAGGATGGAATAGCAATGACAATAGTGGTTAATATACTGAACAATGTTGATAAGGACGAAGTCGTCAACATGAAAAGGCCACCAAATGAGAATCCAATTTCATTGCAATTGAGAAATAATGTAATCTAAATAAGAAAAAAATTATGATTAACATGGAATTGAACGATTATCATGAATGGGGGCAAACCTGATTAAGAATCCTTATTGAGTCAGTTTTGAGGGATGTTTTATAAACAGTCATCAATAATTCTTGAGATTTTGCATAAACTTGAATTGCCAAATGTGCGATTTTGAGCAAAAGTATTAACCCTAAAACACAGCGAATGGTGCGATTTAATTTGATAAGAAGATGGTGTTCCAGAAATATCAAAGCATAAAATAAATCACAGCTATTAGACACGAAAAGCATGAAAATCAAGAATAAAGAAGGGCTCATGATTTCATTGATTTTATCAACTAAACGATGAGTCGAGAGATACTTTTTCCGAAGATCTGCAATGACATCAATATTCAGTATTTTATCATCTTTCACTGATTCTTTATAAAGTTTCTTCAATTTAATAGCGTTAAATTGAAGTGCTGTTTGTGCTAAGATCAGCAAATCGATTAATACACAACTTTGACAATAAAAGTTGTAATAAGCTACTGGTCCAAAAATAATATGAAACACGTAATTAAATACATCGTCGAGCGAAAAGTCTTTGCTAGAATATGTTTTTTCTTGATACCACGCATAGAACAAGTAACTGTAATTCAAGGTAAAGATGATTATATACAATATAATTGTGAATGAACGACCGATAGCCATTTGTGTCCAAAAATATTTCCTCGTTTCATAATCAAAGTCTATTTGCAATTCATTCCAATAATCATCGATTTGTCTCAGAAAGTTATGATTATAATTGAAATGAAAGAAACTTATACCAGAATTTTGAATTAAAAAGATGACTATACTTTTTGGTTCAATCGAAAACACTGAATCTAGAGAAATTTTCATCAATGGATTGAAATACATTGAATTTTGGAAAAGCAGGAGCAATAGGAATAAACACTTTCCAAAAGCACCATTTGTTGATGAAATCATTAATTTGAATCTGCATGGAATCGAGTTGATAGACATTTTTGGATAATTTTTTAGCTCTTCATTTCGTATATTATTTTGAACATTGATAGAAGTCATTTTGCTGAGATAAAAATCAAAATGAATAAAAAAAACTTGAAATCCTATGAAACCAAAAAATGAGTCTCGCCATAGACTAAAGCCTAGTTTCATATCATTTCTTCATGACACGCAAAACTTTTGTGATAAAATTTATTAAATATGAATATTTCCATTTCAATAAATATTTTTTGTATAAAGTAATCATGATTAAAAAGCTATTAACTTTCAAAATTAACTTTAGCATTAAATATTTCAAAGCAACAAATGTTGCCTTCAACTTTCACATATCAAACGATCGATATCAGAGTCAAAAGTTAAACTGACGCATAAAATGAGCAAATGATTTCCAATCATGATTGTTTTGTTTTGTACATAAATGAACATTTTCACTTATATAATAGTTATAAAGCTACAAAGTCACAAAGTAAACTTTAGCATTCAATCAAACCATATTTGTATTAACTTTACTATGTTTTGGAAGTTCGCAAATATCAAGTAATCGGTGCTCAAGAATAATCAATGCTTCTGGACGGCAATGAAGTCAGTGCAGGTGCATATGGCTGGACATTAAACTCAAATTAAATTGCACGAAATATTATAGCAAATATTAGTTTCAGTTTATTGATATCAATTATTTTAGGTTTGTCTAATTTCTAGGTTTCAACATTACATTATAACCATATCTTTTAAGACTTCCAATTGATAAATTTTCATCCAGACTCAAACTTTATCTTTGCCCTTATAAAACAATTGAGTAGTTTGAAAGAGTCGAGATAATGTCCAGTAACCAAATCTGTGCGAAACTCAAACGTTTTAATGTGATTTTTGCTGAGGTGATCGACATTTATTTAAAGTATTAGCTTAATATTCAAGATATAAATGATGGAATTGCAATAATGATCGTAACCGTTACAGCAATCAATGACGATATGAAATCTGGTGTGATCATGAAAATACCTCCAAACGAGAATCCAATATTATTGAAGCTCATCCGATAGAGAAATCTGCAAGAAAAAGCAAAGCCATCAATTGTTTTAGCAGAAGATTGAAAAACTCGAGAAATGTGCACCTCATTTAGATAGTGAAATGAATCAGTGTTAAAGGTTAGTTTGTACAAAGCCTTATGAAATTCACGAGATTTTGTTGTGATTGTAGCAATTGGTATAATAAGTAAAAACAATTCAGTGATCGTGCCGACACAATTAATTAATGCAATAGTTAAATAGAACTGATTGTGTTCGATGAACAGTATTTTGTATATTTTGACATTCAAAATTGAGACGTAATATGAAAATATGCCAAATAAACAGGGATTCACGAATGAACCCAATCTTTTTACCAAACGATGAGTTAACACATATTTCACTCTCAAATCCTGAATAACTTTAATGTCCAATTTCATATCGTTCATCTTCAACTGTTTATCAATAATAACAAGTTGACTGTTGATGTAATGGAGAGCAGATTGAGCCAGAAATGCAGAATCAATGATAATAAAATCCTGCATCAGACAGACTGGATAAAGAACAATATCTGAAAGCATTTCAGACCAAAATTTGACTGATGGTTCGCTCAATAGCATTTCGATAGAGTACTCGGATGGACTAACCGATGCATAAGGCCAAGAGGCTGCATGTACTAACAGTACGGAGACTCCCATAGAAAAGTAACTAATTGTGATCATTTTACGGTAACTTGATTCTTTGGTCCAAAAATAACGTCGAGTTGAATGGTCAGAGTCAATGTTTAAGGATTTCCATATTTGGTGAACTTGGTGCAGAAATTTTTCATTAAATTTAAAGTGAAAAAGGCTTAAGAGATAGATTTCAATGAAACAGTAGATTATGGTTTCTGGGTGAACCGAAAATGTTGAATCCAGTGAAATGTAGCCTAATTTGACCCAAAATTTCAACTGAGTTGAAACAAACAACAAAATAAACAAACCATTTCCTAGTAAACCATTTGTCGATGAAACAATCAGATTAAATCGAGATGAGAATGAATTCATCGACACTTTTGGATATTTTTTGATGTTTTCATTTGACATCCAGTTGAACAATTTGTTTAAAATATTCATCTTCAATACTTATATTGAAATGGCTCCAGTTTATTTATCACTGATACATTTTGTTATATTGATTGGCTTTACATTTCAACCAATTTGTCTCGTATTTCAATCAATGGACGAAAACATTCTCACTCTTAATTTCAGCCATTTCTTTAGTTTATGCTGTTTTAAATTCTTATGCTATTATGATAATATTGATGATACTTATGAGAAACAAAGTGATTAGCTGAACTAATTGGTACAAAAAATTCCGTCGATAAACAATCAATGAATCATTGAATGCGTTAAAATAATGAGTTGATATTTTTTTTGAAGCAGATGGCAGTCTCATTTTGAAGTTTAAATATCACTTTGCTGTCTCCATGAAAATGTCTGCGAATGAGACTTCTCATTTCATTGGATCAAAACATTGACAAAATTTTTCAATATTTTTTGTTTTGTGAACACAGAATTGATGAAAATAAATTTATCCGATGTCTCATTGAAAAGACAATCACTGGTGAACCTGATCTGTGAATCAAGCGAGATTTACTAATGAGTCCATAGTGACTAATGAGTACTGATGAGTCCATTGTAGATTTAGTATTGCTTTGCAATTGGTCTTTCGACTCGATTTGCTGAGTTTGGATTTCAGTTGAAAATAACAGAATTCTGATAGCAATTTGAATATTATAGCTTTTAGGATATTCATCAAGGATTATCGATGATTCAATAGAAATAAATGATTTGAATTAAATGATTAAGCTCCTTTTTTCTTGGTTAATAGTCATCTGCAATGAAAAATAATTTCCCATAGATTAATAATTTGTCAATGACTAGTCGTTAACAACGGAAAAGTGTTTGGCTTCGTGAATCAGAGCGAAATTTAGATTTGGAAAATTTCTTTTCTTTTTTATGAAACCAACTTGCCAATCTATCAATAATAACTGGAAGGCTCATAAACGGAGGATATCTAGTTGACTGAAATTATTCATGCACCAATTATGATGGTGGAGTTGTGAGCTTTTCAAAATTAAGGCTAAAAGAGTCGCACATCCGAGTAATATTTTATCACTTTTTTTGTGTATTCTGAGACAAACGTTTGCTATAACCTCTCCATCGTTGATATACTTGGAACACTTTGAGAACTGCAATACAAAAGATGAATCAATTAATATTAAGTATGAAAAATTAAACAAAAAAAACAATGAGTGTGCTGATTTATATATACCTTGGCGATATTAACGAGAATGCTGATTGATGAGATAATTCTTGGTTTATGAGCTTCACTTCGATTTGCTTCATTAAGAATATGTATCATCATGTTGATTACATTCGATTGGGCGGCTTTAAGACAACATTCAGGTGACAATCACGTAACAATCTCCATGGTGGACAAATCACCTTCAATGTGTATTCCTCGAGAGTTGTTGGACAACTTGGTCAGTGCAGTCTGGAATCGATATCCTAATTTAGTTTCTTCAGTTGCTGAGGCATTGGCTGTTTGTAAAGCTCGATAAATTAGGCGAAAATCCCGATCTCGAAGAGCTACTTTCCGAGTATGATGGCCTAACCATGTGGCTTGGATAAATGTAGCACATCTATTGAGATACAAAAGTCGATGTCGTTTACAAAGGTCACGGAAATAACATAGAGTACAGTTGCATTTTGATTTAGCTAAGGCTGCAGTCAAACGTTTCCTTTTTCGGTTTTTGTAAAGTTTCCAGGCTTGCTGGATGGCTGATGCTGCTCGTTGAGCTCGCTGATCACGTAGTTCAGGGAAAGCTATTTGTAATTGTCGTTCCAATGGCTTTAACAAATTTGATCCAGACATATTTGAAACACAAAAAAATGAAAACCAATTTTCATAACCAAAACACCAGGCAGATTGAGTCAAAATTATGTAACGGAAGATCTCCAACGGTAGATGCTTGTTTAATAAGATATTTTGGTAGTTTAGACACTGAAAATAGAAAGTAAATCGATGGTATAAAAGTTAAAAGTAAAAATATAATTGTTTTAATTAATAGCGTGTTACACACAGATCTCTACACAAAGAGTAATAAACGACCATTTTAGATCAATTATTGGCAAAGAGCTTACTCTTTGACTATAAGTCAAGTTCATGTCAAGGAATTTCGTTTTTCAGATTTCATCTATTTAAAATATCAAAGAGTAAAAAGAGATTTGTGATTGTCTATCACCTCAATGAGAGGTTACTGTGTCTTTTAGTCAAGCTGATGATCCATCGGTTAAATTTAACCCACGTGCAAACATATTTCCCAGACAATCCTGTTTCATATTTGGTCATTGAAACCAGATATACCTTAAATTTTGCTCAATCTATCAACTAAATCAGCAAATTATCAATTTTGTTAACCGACTTCATGATTCTTCAAATAATCTTTTTCATGCTGTCAATAATATGTAAACGAATTGTTAAGTGTTGCAAACAATGTATATTTTATTAAATATAATTGTCTTGAAAATTATAATTCATATACAATGTAAATGGAAAACTAGAATCTTAAAATGAGATCATAATCTTTAGTAAATGTTGACAATGAACATTATCATTGAGTTAAATTAGAGATCCCAGTATATTGAAGACCAATTATAGAGTAGCAAATCGTTACTCCATTACCACCATGTTGCCAGTCTGTAAATGAGACCAAAACGGAAAAGGAAATGTTAAAACACGTGTTCGGTGAACAAAGAACATTGTTGTCTGAGTCAAGGTTCAGGACAGCAATTATAATCATAAATATTCAGTGACTCTAGTCTGTAAATTTCATCATTTCGAATAAAACAATTGTTTAAATAAAACAAGACTTACCATGTGAGCAAATGTAACAAGTTCCTCACCGGCATTACATGGTGAATCATACTGAGAACAAATTCTGGCAAAGAGAAAAAAAAATGAATTAGATAAGCACAAATACATCTAATTCCACTAAAGATAAGGGCTAAAACGATAAGGAGATGAAGTGAATCACCAAGGAAATGATCAGTTTTAGTAACATGATTGTCATCACTAAATATCAAGAGGTGTCCTAAGTTAGATCATCATTTCAGATCACTTGGTAAATACTTCACATTATAAAAAAGATCTTACCTTCAAAGATTCAAGATAAACCAAGCCATAGACCACCACGTGGTTTTAGAAATACCATTATCAACCCATTGGAGGCAAAAAATCCATAACCATCAGCTCGGCTGTGTAAACGAGAAAATTAAAGTAGAGTTAGTAAACAGCAAAAGAATGATCAGAAGAAAACTAAACACTGAATTATTAAAAGCATGTTTTCTCAGACAAATGCCTCGCACTTTACATTCACGGTGTTTCCAAATTGATAACAATGAATGATGGTGACCAAAGTAATACATAGGGATAGTATGATTACTGAAAATGGAACACCTCAATGTATCAAAAGGAAGTCATACTCGTCATCGATCATCATGTGAAAACAGCTTTTAAAATAGATCAATGTTAAGAATGTTAATGTTAAATAAAACACAAAAAACAAGATAAAATCAATTAACTAAACCAAGAGAAAGTTTGATTACCTGACGATGTTGAAAGCATGTTGATTTGGTGATGAAGTCCAGATGAAGTGATACCACTGCTATCAGACCAGCCTTTAAGTAGCAGAATGGCTGAAGAATAGCGGAAATGCGTATGCTCAGCTATGCTCAAGAGAAAAGCATAAAGGAGGTTTTTTGGCTGCAAAAAGGAATAAAAAGCATAATAACACAATCTACGTCATCTATAAGTTGACTTGAATTTCTTTAAAATTATCTACATTTTAGTGTTAAAATTAATAAAATAAACATTTTTGGTGATAATTTTTCATTTTATTTGACCAATTGATGAAAACAACCATTTTAAAGGGTCAAATAATTTGAAAACCGGCAAAAAGGAATGTGTTTCGAGCCAAAAGCTGATTATGCTTTTATGCTTTTTTAGGAGCAAGATCATTTCCTTTTCCTACTGAATCTTGTAAGCTGATGTTATATTAGTTTTACGGTACACGGAATTTACTTCATTTAATTTCTCAATTGTTTTAGGTAATTATCCAAGTTTAAATTTCTTACTTTGTTATTTTTTCCCTAATTTTTATTGCTATTATTTGTGATTAAGTGATGATCGATGACGAGTATGACTTCTCATTGAATCATTGAGATGTTCCATGTTTAAATCATGCTATCCCAATGATCTACATGGACACATCTCTTTTGTCATTCAATTGAGATTTTCATGAATTTAAAGTGCGAGGCATTTGTCTGATAGTTACACTTAGCCATTTTTTTGCTACGAGTACATTTAAGCATGTGTCTGTCCTCATTTCTTCTAGTCTCTATTTCTTATTTATAATAATTTTATTTCTTATCTTTTTTTTTCTTTCCCTCTTTCCTATTTTACACATCATCCAGTTAACCAGATTATGACTTGAGTTGTTAGTTCTTTTTGGACTGCTTGACTACTCTATGGATTACGGAACATCAACGGCTTAAGGTATGTTTTATCAATTTTATGTATCTTCTTTTTTTTAGCATTTCCTTCTATTTTTTATCTTTGTCTTGTTTCTTGTTAACGTGTTCATTTTTTTCCTCCTTTCTCCATTTTGTAGATGTGTACAGTAATTTATATCTGTTTTCATGCTTTCTAATTTATATGTGATCTTTTTTATTATGATCCTAAATTAGGACCCCTTTTGATTATGGCTGCTGATTCGACTGGTACGATAGGTGAAACCCCCGGACCTTCAACTTCAATGGAAAACACTCCACCAACTTACGATGAAGTCTTTCCTGCTCTCCCTGAGAGCTTTCCTTTATCTTCCTCCGACAACATTGAGATGAATGGTGACTCGATTGCCTCCGTTCATCCTTTGAAACCCAAGCCAATTCCCACTGTGACTAAATTAAAACCAAGCCAAGTTACTCAGATTTATGTTGTCTCTCCTGATGAGCGGCGTTTCAAAGATAACAATGTTTTCAGAGAAAGAGACCAACATAAAATTTGTATCGAAATTATGCAAGAAACTAGTACACGAATTGAAATGAGTAATTCTAAGGATGGCAAATTGACTTTTCTAATCTCTGGACGAGAGGATGCTGTTGCCCTGGCTAAGAAAAAAATTGCTGAAGCATTGCAGTCTAGAGGGGAGAAGTCAGTTCACATTCCTAAAGAGCATCATAAATTCGTTTTGGGTAAAAATGGATTGAAGCTCAAGGATTTAGAAGAAAGGACTAACACCAGGATCACTGTTCCTCGCCAAGACGATTCATCCGAAGCAATCAAAATTATAGGAACTAAGGATGGTATTGATCGGGCGATGCATGAAATACTTTCTGTTTCCCACGAGGCTGCTAGTAAAGCCAGCGAAAAGATTCAAATCCCGAAATATTTGCATCCTTTCATCCGAGGAGCTTTTGATGAGACGATTAACCTAATCATCTCGGAAACTGGTGCTCGAATAGCTATCCCACCTCAAGAAGTAAATGATGATACTATCAATATCATGGGTGATCTCCCTTCTATTGCTGCTGCTAAGGCCAAGATTTTGAAAGTTTATGATGAAAAGAAGGCTAAGTGTACATCAGTACCTATGCAGGTTAAAAAGGCCCAGCACAAGTACATTATTGGACGTGGAGGACAGACGCAAAGAGAAATATTCAAACAAACCGGTGTTTACGTGGACATACCACGTCAAGATGATGATACTGATACAGTCACTCTTTGGGGAGAACCTGAAAAGATTGGACCTGCATTGAGTGTTCTTTGGGAAAAAGCTCATAGTGAGGTGGAGGATGTTATTGAAACCGAGCCTTGGGTTCATCGTTATATTTTGGGTACTAAAGGGACAAACTTCCAAGAAATGAATGCAAACTTCCCCAATGTTAGGGTCACCTTTGAAAACAATGGTGTTGTCAGGATGAGAGGTCCTCGAAACGACTTGCCTACTGCAAAGAAAATTTTGGAGGAAGCCATTGCGGCTATCAGAAGTCGTATATCTGTGATTAAACTCCAAATTGATCCTAAATATCATCGATTCATTATTGGTCAAAAAGGTAAACAAATCACTCAAATTCGGGAAGAAAGTAAAGCCCAAGTGCATATTCCCGATGAATCGGATCATAGTGCCTCAAGCGATGTCATTCGGATTGAAGGGTCTGCTGAGGCAGTTAAAAAAGCCCAGGAAATGTTGACAGCAATAATCGACAAACAAAAAGAAAGAGAAAATGAAGTAACTAAGGAAATTTCAATTGAACAACGTCTTCACCGACATTTTATTGGCTCTAAAGGTGAAGAAATTAGAAGGATCAGGGATATGTTCAACCAAGTATGTATAAGCAATATCTTTTTACATCTTGATCCTTTTTTTTACTCTAACACATCGATGAAAAACGTCATTACAAAATTAAGAATGTGAGAAACAAGATTGACATGTGAGAATCGCACTCGCATATCTAAAAATTGTGAAAATTCCAGTCTCTTTTCAGGTATAATTTGTAGTCAAGACATTGACACTGAAAACTGGTTTCACTTCATCTCCTTTCCCCTCTTTCTTTTTATGCTCTCTTCAAAGTTGTCCAGGGCTACTTGATTCCTGTTACTTCTTCCTCTTTATTTTCCCCATTTTCTTCCCGTCTTGTTTTCCATCCCATTCCTTGTGCGATGCACAATCTTGACTGCCTATCTTGATAATATATTTGTACATCTTCAACTTTTTCATACTTTTTTATTTTTTTCCAGGTTGCCATTAACTTTCCTGATCCTACCTCCAAAAGTGACAAAGTTATCATTCGAGGCTCTAAGAATGATGTCGAAAAGTGCTACAAGTTTTTAGCTCAAGAAACACAAAATTTATTAGCTAACAATTATCGATTAGAAGTGCCTATTTCCAACCAATTTTTCAAATTGTTTACTCTAAAGGAAAAAGTCAAGATACAGCAGGTAAAAATCTATTCAAACTAAGACATCTATAAAAACTTTGACGTTGCAGTTTTAATTAGAGATAACTGATAACGTTTATTGACTATAGTTTAAATATGCCACATCAACAATTTAGTCTCACTTGTTGATTGGTGTTTACTTTTCCGGATCATCCAATTACTGATTGTTTCTTTTTATATTCACTCCTCTTTTATATTTAGATGAGCAAAGATACCAATACTCGAATAGATCTGCCGAATAATCAGTCGGATGCTAAACAAGAAATCAAACAATCTAACCTTCCTCCTATCATTATTTCTGGCAAAAAAGATGATGTTGAAAAAGCCAAAGAAATTATTTTGAAACTCCAAAAAGAATTAGGAAATCACGTTCAGATTGATATCATTATACCAGCTAAGTTCCACAATTCGCTCATCGGCAAAAAGGGTAGCCTTATCAGATCAATCAGTGAGGATTGTGGTGGAGTCACCATTAACTTTCCTCCAGAAAACTCTGGCAGTGATAAAGTGTCGATCATTGGTCCTAAAGAAATGGTGCACAAAGCAAAACAACAATTGCTTGAATTAAAGAACGAGAAGGTCGAGAACAGTTTCGAGGTTGAGATCAAAGCTAAACCAGAATTACACAGGTTCTTAATTGGTAAAAAGGGTACCAACATTAATAAACTTAGAACCAAAACCGGTGTTAGAATTATGATCCCAGCTGATGGAGATGAAGATCAGGATGGAACAATTACAATCGTTGGTAAAAAAGACGCTGTTTTGAAAGCAAAGACTGAATTGGAAGAAATGATTCATGATTTAGAACAAATTGTCGAGGATTCCGTGAAAATTCCTGTTCAATTTCATTCTCATTTCAAACGGTTGTCTGCTCAGCGACAGATCAAAGAAGGCTTGGGAGATTTACAGATCAGCTTCCCTAGGAGCAATAATTCTGATCAGGTAAGCCTCAGAGGTTCAAAAGACTGTGTTGAAATGGCAAAGAGTCGTATAATCGAAATGGTCGGTGATTTGGAAGCTCAAGTAACTATGGAAGTAGTTATTCCCCAAGTCTACCATCGAATTATTATGGGTAAACAAGGAAGAAATGTTCAAAGTATTCAAAGTGAGCATAAAGTTGAAATTCAGTTCCCTAAACGTGAAACCGGTGATGCTAAGGAAAATGCTGTTGTCAATGGAAATGCTGAGGGTGAAACGGCAATTCATGAGGAATCATTTGATCATCAGAATGATGTATCTCAAGGAAAGCCTAAAGAATCCGACATAATCATTTTGAAAGGTCGCAAGGAGAACTGTGAATCAGCTAAACTTGCTCTTCTCGAATCTATTCCAGTTACTAAAGAAGTCGAAGTGCCTTTTAGTTTACATAAGTTTATTATTGGTCAAAAAGGGGCTAATATCAGGGAGTTGAAAGAAAAATTTGATGTTGACATTTCTGTTCCTCCTTCAGAAATGCAAAAAGATTCTATTCAGGTCAAGGGAACTCGGTCTAACGTTGAGGGGGCCATTGAAGCAATAAACGAGAAAGTACAAAAGTTGAAGGAAGAACAACAAGAACGGGATGCTAAGAACTTTAAATTAGAGATTCAAGTTGACTCCTCTTATCATCCAAAAATTATTGGTAAAGGTGGTAAAGTTGTCTCTAAAATTCGCAAACAATTTGGAGTTCAAATCCAGTTCCCGGAAAAGAAAGATGATGCCTCCGATATTATCTCAATCATTGGTTACGAAAAGAATGCTGAAACTGCTAGAGACGCAATCCTCGATATCGTGAAAAAATTAGAGAATACTGTTTCTGAAGAAATCGAAATCGATGCTAAGGTACATCGACGATTAATAGGTGCCCGAGGTAGAAACATAAATAGCATTATGAATACGTTTAAAGTGGAAGTCAAATTCCCTAAAGAAAACAGTAGCAATCCCAATCTGGTCACTATTTCGGGCGAACCTGAAAATATTGAAAGAGCAAAGGATCATTTACTCGAACTTCAAGATGAATATGTAAGTTTTTTTTCAAAAGAAATGTTTAATATATGTCAATCAAATCTATCGAGATTTTGGTTGCTTATCTTTGATATTCATTTTAAATTACAATTTTCCTTTTCAATTAATGTTTTATTTAACTTTTAACCTTGTTTTCTTTAGCTTGATGATGTTGTTGAACAATACAGACCTCCTTCGAAGAAAATCGTTGAAGAGGATTACATTCCAAGAGGTGAGAGTCGAGGTTTTTACGTTAAAGGTGGACCTTGGGAACAGCAGCAGCAACAGCAGCAACAAAGCATGCCAGATACAACCAATGCTGAAGAGTTTCCATCAATGCTGGGCAGTGGTGGTGGGTCAGATGCATCTGAATCACCTAAATCTCGTGGATGGGGATCGATATTCAATTGTTAAATCAAATAAACAAATTATTGAAATAAGAAAATAAATACCATTTATAGCCAATAATAATAATAATAATAATTTAATCGAAATTAATTTACTCGCAAACTCTTTTCTACTTTCCTCTGGCCTACTCAACTTTCTTCTCCTACGCGACTGTACCAAACGTGTACAGTCAGATATATTTTCCTATTTCTGTATATTTCATTTGTTGCTAAATTTTCATCCTCCACATTTTAAGGGATGAAAACTTCTAAATTTATCTTTTTAACTTTCTGACGTTCTCATCTTTCTCTTGACATACGCAACTTTATTTCAATGGTAAACCCTGTTTAAATGAACGTAGGAGAGAAGAAGAGGAAAAATGAGAAAATTTTATGGCAAGGAAGAAAGAAGGTTGAAAGCGAAGTCAATATATAAATATGTGTGTGTGTGTGCTTGTTTGATGAGAGAGGCGAAAGAGGAAGATGGGCTCTAAAAGGGAGAGAAATATGATTCTCAGCATCATCAGGGGAAAATTGTCGCATTAGAAAGGAAGAGAGGAAAAAAATATGTGAGATACAATCGTCTCTTCATTTCTCTCATCTTCATCCTCCACTCATTTAGTTTCTTTTTTTCCTTCTAAGCACAAGATACGGATGACCTTTTTGCTTTTATTACATTTGTGCTTTACTTTTTCTCATTTGCCAATATCGTTCTCGTCATCATTGCCTTATCTTCAACATTTTGAATTGTTCATCTATCCACTTGTACCATTTACTGAAACATTTTTATCAGTTTTGCTTTATATTCTTGTTCTGATGTTTCACTTCTTCACATTAACTTGTTTGATACACCTTATAACTATCATCGCCGTCATCATCATAATCATGATTCCACTTGAAATCAAACTGATGAAAAAGGTGATGTTGATAAAGATAAACTGAACACGAAGACGATTGTATCGTTATATTGGTAGTGTTTTTGTTGGTGGCTGAATGAGGACATCCTGAGAGTTGAACAGGCAAACAGATAAATTATAACATATCGATTCACACTTAACTAAACAATTAGCTAATTACTTTGCTCACAGATGTTTGCATAAGTTTAAACATAAGCTTTTTCTTTCCCTTTTCTCACTTCAATGTAACTCTCTTTGTCTCCTTCTTTCTCTTTTTGTTTTTTTTCCTATCTTTTCCATTCTCTGTTACCGTTTGTAACAATGTGCACTGTTATAAATGATTATGTGGTTTCTTGTTTTAAAATCAGTTGATCAAATTTTATTAACTAATTGTTTATATTGCTAATTTTGGTTTTTCCTGTTACCACTCTTTTAATAATGTGTTTATCTCTAGTTAATTTGGTAATCATCAAATGAAATGAGCAACTTTCTATAATAACATATTGCTTCTTCAACAGTGTTTCAAAGGCATATCCATCAAGATCGCTACATATCGGTTTTCTCATTTCTCATTCAACTCGCCAATCACTGTAAACCATCACTTTGATCATCAAGATTTTTACCTTCTCCTTCAACATCATGTCATCTTGAACGATATAAATCATTATCGTAATCGGAACAAGAGGCAAGTTACAAAGTTCGAGTTAAAACGAATTGCTGGCTCAGCAAAAAGTAAAAATTTCTTACACTTGAAGGAAAAAGAAGAGAGAAAATCATTTGAGTGAGATAGGTGGATGGAAGAAATACGGATAAGAGAGAGAGACAGGGAGAGAGACAGTAAAAACGAAGGAAGATGAGAAGTGAAGATGAGAGAAAGTATAATCGAGTGAGTTTCTTTTAGTTTTTTAAGTAGCATGGCCCACTTATAAACAGACAACCGTTTCCTTCAAGCCTATCATCCTCATAACCATAATCAACATAATCATTTACCATCGTCATCAGCATTCTCATTATCTTTCCACCAATATCATCTTACATACAAAGTGAGTCTAGTATATATTTATTATTTATTTTAATTCAAATTAACCATCTTAATCCGTTCATCTTTTTGTGTTTCATAACTTCCATCTAACCCATTCACAGCCATTCCTCTTTCAATTTCACCTTTATATCACAAATGGTTCTCTCTATTCTGTTCTCATTCAACATCCACCAACCGCTATGCAAACATTTCTCGACTTTTATCATGTTTACCATCATTGGCATGTTTTACAGTACTGATCATCGCTTACCAGTGCAGAGCCATAGAGACATCTTACCAGACAGCGTTGGAATGGTTATTTGAAATAATCTAATACTGTCAGGTAAAGATGTCTTAAATAACCTGCCAAATCATCTCTTCATCAAGCTCATCACCGTTTAACCTGATACAAAAAGAGATAATTGCTCTCTTTTTCTCAATAACAAATATTGGTTTAATAATCTGTTTTGGACTTCTATTCATTCTGGAATCGTGGGATCGTTATCCATGTTTTTCAATGAAAAAAAAGGTTAAACATGTTGAGCAAAGTCTCAATTAACTTCAACTAAAGGTAAGCTTTGATTGATACCCATTGAAATTTGATAAACTAATTTATGAACAAAAAATAAATGATTACCATGAAAACATGAACATATTGTATTGGCTAACAAGACTTACCAAATCAAATTAAACTGTGAATCAAAAGTACATACAAATGTATATCAATTATTAACATTAACATTTAAACATGTACCTAACATATAAATAACATTTTCTTTCTCCTCCCGCTTTCAGTTTCAATAAAGTCACCCATTTCGATTGAGATGATACAAGGAAAAAAAGACTGATGGATTCAAAATGCAATTAATAAATTAGGAATAACTATGAAATGTTGAGGAAATGAGACAAAAGAAATTCTTCTTGATACAAATAGGACCTTCTAATTTCACAGGGGAACTGAGTAAACCATACTGATGGTTTGCCAACAAAGCGATGCAAAACGATGCTCATCCATTTGGGTTGCTATTCTGAAGAGGAGAACAAAAAAAGCTGAAGACAACAAAACCAATGAACCACAAAATGGTGAAAACATAGAAATAAAAACAGAAGAGGAAAAGATGACTCAAAACTTATACCGGATAACATTTCGAAATTTGACCAAAATGTCTTTTCAAGACTGATGGAGTTGGACGAAACCAACAATAAACTGACCTCATTTCTTTACCATTGACAGTCATCACTTCCAACCTCAGAATAGTTTTTACAGAATATCCATTAGATTAGAGTTAACTTGGGTTCAAGCAAACAGTCAATCAATTCGGATGCATTTGTTGAACATTTTGAGTCTACAATTAAAATCCAGCATTGTTTAATCAATGGCTGTTTTACCAACAAAGATAAAACATTGTCAATGAAGGTTCATTTTCAAAGCTGTATACTGCTGTTTACATCACAAGCATGGTTGGCATATGTGTTTACTCGCATTGCTGTGTTGGGCTAAAAATATTTCAGTCTTGGCCTGAACAGTTACAAAAATGTGTCTTTCTCTTCTCTTCTCATCTTTTTTTCCTCTCTTTTTCTCATCCTTCTCCTGCTCTTCTCTCTCTTCCATCTAATTAGCTTTAATGGATGAAGATCGGAAGCTATCTCACACACATGTGGCTCCTTACAAACCGATGTATATTATCAGGTCACTTCCGTTTTGGTGTAACATTCTGTAATTGTTTTGCTAAACCATTTTGAGTTAATTGATTCTGTGAAATTTTGTTGTAACTCAGACTAATTAATCTTTCAATCAATATTTATCATGATGCACACTTATTGGTATAATTTGAGACAACCTTGATTTAATAAATCTCTTCACAATTTCTTAGTGTTACAAGATATTCTGATACAATATCATTGACCAGATCTCGTAAACATGTTAAATGTTTACGTTTTGCTTTCATTTTATTAATAACTGATCTTTACTTGTATTAGTATTTAGTTCATTATTTTATATTTGCTGGCGCGATAAAAAGTTGCATTTGATTCGCAAATATTATAATAGAATGAAAAATGATTGATTTGGATCTGGAAAATGAGTAAAAAATGTTTCAGCTTTGAATTAGGCAAAAGTTTGTTTTTGAAAATTTTGAATTTTGACTTTTATTTCAATAAATTATTAATAAATTAAGTTATGTATAAATGTCAATTTGATTTATAAAACTATCGCTTGAATTGGATATGCCTCAACAGCTTCAATACAAGCGAAACACCATTAATTATTCAAGCTTTGTTAATAACTGGAAATGGTGTTTACTTCATCAACCTTATCCTCTACGACTATGGGATTGTTTGATGTCGTCTCACTAATTTCGATTGCTGCAGTTGTTGCGATTGATGAAGGTGTTGAGGGTGAAGATGATAATGGTGATGATGAATTTGATTGAGATGGAGATGATTCTGTTGAGGTTGACGAGGTTACTGTGGACTCTGATGGTTTTGATGATAAAGGCGAGGAGAAGGTTGATGATACAGGTGATGAAGATGGCGGTATCGATACTGGTGTTGTTGAAGGTAATATCGAAACAGCTTTAACTGTAGTAGTCGTAGTGCTACTGGATGTTGAGGGATTGGGTTTGGTAGTTGAACCATCAGCAGGAGTGTCATCTAATGGTACATCACTACCACTGACCAAGGCATCAGAAATATGATCAGTCAACTCATTAACTTGGGAAGCAATGTTGGTTAACGCAGCAACTCCTATCAATCGATTTTGAAGAAGAGACAAATTATTTTTCAATTGATGGATATGTTTCAACATTGGTTTCAACATTGCAGTGTATGTAAACCGACGACTGGAAGTAAAGTTAGCTATAGCCGATGAAACATGAACTTCCAATGAATCCAAGTCCTCGAGTACATGAGTAAACTTTTGATCTGATGATGGAGGAACCACAATCTTTATTGGAGGAACAGGGCCGTACATTGGGACGGAAACTGGCGATGCTGTGCTTGGTGGTAAAGTTACACTAGTCTCGTTGTTAGTCTGATCAACATCAGTGTAGTTACTGGAATCAATATTTCCACTGTATCCGCTAGCTGATTGTGACCCATCCAAGGTTTGATAATCTAAATCATCATAACTTTTCAATGAACAGGCAACAGCATTGGTTAAACACAGGTCAACATCTCGATTGATGGAGGCTAAAATTTGGTTTGCCTTGGAAATTGACTGTCGAGTTGTATCAAGATCACTTTCAATCTCCCCATACAATGGAGTTGAGTTGGCCAATCCAATGGTTAAACTGACAAGGACAGATGACACTAAAGTAAATTGATACATATTGGTAACAAAAAATTGTAATCAATCAATCAACAGTTGCCCACCAAATGATACCAAATATAAACCAAGCAGCCAGTTATATTGTGCTGGATCCCCTGGAAAAGGGTAAATGTAAGAAAGCATAAGAGCAAACTGGACTTTATAAGGCAATCCAAATAAATAGCACATTGTTAATTGTTGTCCTCACTGTTGTTACCATTGACTTGATTAACATGGTACACAAACAGGTACAGTTAATGATAAATAAATTCCGGATTGATTAAAAACAAGGTTAAAATAAGAGGAGACAAAAAAAGAGCTGGTTGACCTTTTTTCCCCTATTTAGATCATCAACATTGACTGTTGAGTTTAACCGCGAGGAGACTTGTTATTCCGGTGTGAGTGAGATCGTTTAGGATTCAATTAATTTGAATCCCGTAAATATCAAAGTAAATGATACATGAAAAAAAATCTAAATGATCTTGAATACCTTATTATTACCGGAATTAAAGTAACAACCAAGATGAGAACCATTTAATGAAACATTGATGACCACAGAGCCTAAAATTAAAAGCAAACTTGCCTCTCTATCACAATCCATTAGGATATTTTTGAATAATGATCATCATTGAAACTTAATTAGTTGAACATCAATAATCATGTTTTTTGTGTGTGCTGATGTATTTGTACTTAGTTGTATGCAAATGAAATGAGTTCCTAGCAGTGAAACAATTAGAGGTAAAGTGCAAAAATTTAATCAGTAAAGGTTAAGTTTGGGTTACAGGAATCAAGTTGATCAAGGATGGCATTAATAACAACATAAATGTACGTTAATATTAACATGTTGATTGGGTTGTTAGAGGTTTTAGTTGGGATTGGGTTTTGCCTTTAATTTCTTGGTTTCAATCCAAATTGTGGGATAAGCGTTTCTTTATCGTCATCTGTAATGTTGATTATCCTTGTGTCTTTCAATTGGACCATGAATATCGAGAGCTTTTTTACATTGCCTTGAAGTTGATTGCACACAACTCGTAATTTCAAGTTGATAATACTTGACTTGATAATCAATCCCTGAAGATTAACAATTAGCCTAAATATGATTTACAGAGAGATGGGGAAAATCAGGTTGATTAGGAAGACACAGATTACATAAAGAATGAGCAAATTGACACTTTCATTGAATAATCGGTTTAAAGTTGAACGCATTTGGCAGCATTTCATGTTTCAATTATGGGTAACATTGATTATTATTGATTGATTTTCAAGCCAAAATTATAAAATATTTTCAACAGCTTGGCTAACAAATCATATTAATCATGATGATTAGCGCAAATTTGGTGGCAAAACAACAATAAATCAGTGATTTATTTAGTGAAAACATTATCAATAATGAGATGGTTTGTGTTTGCTTGATTAATAATGATTTATGAACAATATTTTAGATGATAATTTGGGTTAATATTTTCAAGATCATCAACATTGGCTACTTTCAATTACACTTGCTTTGAATGAAATAGATTGAATCTTTTGAACAAATAATGTCTCATTTTATTTATAATACTGAATAATAAAGAGGAGAACAGAGTTTTGGGCAATGATAATTTGTATCAAGTAAAGCTAATTGTAACATATTAGATTTTTATACAGAGATAACAACAATTAACAGGAAAACCAATAAAATTAGAAATTAAATAACGGTAGTTTCATATATTGACTTTTTCAATGTTTAAGTGTTCCGTTTAATCAATGATGATTAACTTTCTTCTCGACAACTCAATGATTTGTTTCTTTGGTCTTTGGGTTTGGGTTATCAGTCAGATTGAAATCTTGAGTCTTGAGGTTTAGATGATGTGAGGGAAGACAAGAGATTGGGTAACACTTCGCAAGATTCACTGGAAGATGCAGAGGGAAACATCTTTTGAATAAGGAGTGGTGAAGAAAAGCTGAATAAATCTAAAATTAAAAGGCAATGTTGAGTGAAATTTGTCCCTTTTTTTGGCTAACTTGCAAGGTATAAATAAATTTAAACCAAACTAATGGTTAAACCAAGATTGGCTTGAAGGGTGACTGACGATAAGATTGAGAAGATATCATTCGTCAGTCCATGAGAAGTACTTTGAAAGATGTTAACAGTATTTTTGGTTGAGACCAGATGAAAAGGACCCAAAGGAAGGCGTAAAAAGAGCAACTATTTGTAGATAATCGAAGGAGGCTTAAGTGTAATTTATCATTACTGATGGTGATTACCATGAAAATCAGCTTTTATCTCATAACCTCTTCTATGGATGAAATCTTTCAACTCGCTATTCCTGGTGTGTGTTTGGTAAAGATAAAACAAGAGGATTGAGGGAAACAAATAAATTGTAGTCACCAGAGTAAAGGTGCAACAGATTTTTCTTCAATGAATAAACTTGAACTTGTTTCAATGGTTGTTAAGCAGGCAAGAGCAAAAAAATTGGCAGAGATGATTTAAAAAGATGACAATTGTATTAATTTAACAACTCTTTGGTTGCATACATTCCTTTGAGATAGCATTGTTGACAGTATAACTTATCTTCATGGCGAGATGCTTTACCAGTAGCTAGACGAGTGCCACATGCCTCTAGAAAAGGGTTAAAAATAATGGATTGAGATTAATTTTCATGTAAATTCAACAATTATCAAAGCATCAGCATTACAAAGAATAGCTCAGTCTAAACTTACCACATTTGAAGCAGGTTTTGTGCCATTTCAATGGACCAGCGGACATTTCCTCAGCAGCATAAACAGTTTTACCACACTTTGGACATTTGGCAGACATGATGACCAATTTGATGGAATAGAGAAGTGGTTTAAATAATCAAATTGAATTTAGTCGAAAGGGTAAATTAAAACTGTGGAAATGGTAAAATTGGTTAACTATTTATTTACAAGAGCAACTGGCTTTATATAAATTGATAGGTTAACAGAGCTTGAGTTTATTATGAATTAGGAAAAGATTTGATTCTCTCTCTTATACATCACTCATGGTACAGTGTCAGTGGTTATTTTTGGCAAAACCAGCTACACAATCGTGAATCTGCACTCCGCTCTCATTGATTCAACCTCAAAATAAGAAGTATCATAATTGTTTCCATCTTGTAATATCATATGAAACCAGCATTAATATACCTTCGATTTATGGGAAGCAGAAAAGGCTACAGCCATTACAAGCCTTGTGCTCATGGTGTTACTGGTGCAAATTGTTTTCCCTCTTTTCCCTTTGCTTTTTTACATTCACTTTCCAAAGGAGAGATGAAGATGAAGATGAGTAAACTGATGAATTGGTGTTGACTTGCCATAAAAACAACAAACTGACGTAATTTCATTTTAAAATAAGTAAAGTAAATCAAATCGCAACCTCTTCCAATGTTTCCTCGAGACCTTCAAAGGTGCTATTCATTTTCTTGCTTCCTCATCGTCTTGACATTTCATTTTCCTTGTTTTTCCCTCACATTTTCAGCCTGAAATCTTTGCACTTGGTGTTATTTTCATGTCAAAGTATTACTTTTTGCACTTTATGCAGTCAGCCCAAGAAAGCTGACAAAGGGATAATGTGTGAAGCAAAACAGGAATCAGAGTTGGACAAGTTTGGCATCACTCTCGGAGGAACCCTCAATTACTGAGACTGAAATTGTATATTTGAATGGCAATCACAGAGATTTGATCATCTTTCAAGCTAATAAGATGCAAAAACGAAAACAAATTGATGTATCGATCTTGAGCCTTCTTCCAAAAACGATACTGGGTTCAGTATTTATCAAAATCTTATCCAATTTTTGTTACATTCTGAGTGAATCTATCTTTCCATTGATTAATATCTCAGTGAATTGACTGCATCAAGTATTCATTGTTTTGAAAGCATTTAATTAAGTTATTTTTACTGTCATTAATCATGAATAATGAGGAAAGTGTTATTATTTTGTTTAAAAAAACTGTTGATACTTGGTTACACCTATTTTACTCGCATTCACTAATAACCCTAATTTTATTTGAGTTGCGGTAGGCCCGATCGATGGATGCTGCTGTAAACATGTTTACTTGTTTATCTGCATAAAGTATCATTACTAACATGTACTAACGGTTACAATCGTTTGAAACACCAACAAAATGCTGGTTCGGGAAGCGTATATTCAGAACGAGGAAGATGTTGTTTAAGATAATGAGTTGAATTTCATAATATCAATAGCTAATTGTTATCTGTTTTAAGTTAAATTGTTTAATTCAACTTGAAAAAGCGTATGAGCTGAGTTGGTAATGGAAGAGCGTTGATCTTATTTGATTATTGAACGTTTATCATTATCAAAAGTAAGATGGAAATTTATTTTGCTCCCAATTTTTGCCAGTCCGGTGATCAACATGTAAATCATAATCAACAATCTCATCAAGTGAATGGTGATTGTGATATTTAACAGTTACGGTAATTTTTGCTTTCATTTCTTCAATTTTTAATTGTTCCCTCTAAAAAAAGCCTCAATAAGTGAAAATGAGTAAAGCTGAGGTTTATCGGCCATCATCACCATCAAGTGAAAAAGGGTGATTATATTGTTGAATTTTTAATGGCCGTGAAACATCAGGTACTAACATGCAACAACACCAACTACCAAGACGAAGTAACCAACAATTAAGACCAGATAAAAGGTAAATTTGTAGAGACGATTTCATATATAAACCGTTTGTTTACTTCTCAAACTGCATCATTTCAACTTGAATCTTTCCAACTGTCATTTGTTTACTTCTTTTGTTTTTTCACTTCTTCATCAACAACAACATGTTTTTCAATGTAAAAATGCTTCTTTTGGCCATCTTCTTGTGTGTCCAAATCATGGTTATAAGTGCTGGTAAAGACAAGGATGGTGATACAATCATTATGAGCGATTCTGGTGACATTATCTGGAAAGAAGAAGGTAAAGGTGGAAAGAAAGGAGGTGATACCATTGTGATGAAGGGTCGTCGTAAACGAGAAATTTTGTTACCTGTTATCCGTGCCAACCAGGATGACCAATAATCTGGTAAATTGGTGGATTAATATTGTTATTGAGATGACTATCCAGATATCCAGTCCTCATCTCAATCTACATCGCCAAATCCTTTTTTCATTTTTGATTTTTGATTTTTCTATTTTTTACCATTTTTTATTGGAAATCATTTGTTTTGTTTATTTCTTCAAAAGTGTCAATATTTAGTAGAAGTAGCTCATGAGATTGAAAGGTAAAACATTTCAAGGAAATTGAATTGAATAAACAAAGCAATATGATGTATCACAATCTTGAATAGTAGTGAATTTTCACATTTTCAGTGTAATAATTAACTATTTTAATTCCAAAATCAATAAATGAATTGTATATATTACATACACTTGGATATTTGAATTTATTAAAACCACCTCAGGTTAATTCATAGATCTGAATAACGGTTACAATAATGATAAGTAAAATATTACAAAAGGCCCAGCAAGTAGGACTTGGCGAGATCGAACGCTAACCCCAAGATGAACACTCAACATAGCGGTCTTATCGCAAGTGATGATCATTAGGTTACACTTCTTGTATCTCAGAGGGACAATACCCATCCCAAGCGCTAGTTGTAGCATTATTAGTGTATTATTACCTTGAATCTTAATCTTAATCTTAATTTTTGTAAAATTAAAAATCGTTTTCTTACTTGATTGATCAAAATTTTTGTGGCGCCATCAAGTGGTCATTGCCCCCTCAGTAACATTGCAAGCTTAAGCTTTTATCTTTGATAATTTCTCTGCATTGTTATCACTTTATGTTATTTATTTCAATTGTTTATTCATTGTTTCGTTATATTATTAATTGTCGATATGGACATGTGTAGTTTAATGTTTCCAGCCAGCTATCCAGAGATGAAAGAATGTAAAAGTTTATTAATGATCGGTGGTGCAAGTACATGTAAAACGAGTTTACTTCTCCAAATGGCTTGTAGTTTAAGCTATCAGTATTGTAAAAGATTCAACAATGACGATTGTACAGTTATGTTCATTAGTAATTATAAATTGTCCACTTTACCATTCCATGTACATCGGATGCCGCCATTTAATTCAACATCAGCTAAAAATATTTCCGTACAATACCTGGAAACATATTCAGATTTAATAGCTCATCTTGCGAACCTTTTTAGTCATGCCTCTAAAGTTACCGGTATAATTATTGATGGTATTGATGCTTATCTAAAGACAATCGATGAAAAGAAGGATGGAACTTACAAAGATTGTTTAACGAAACTATTTGGTCTTTTAGTTGACATTGGTGGACATTACTCTTCACGAGAAGAAACTTTCGAAATCGGTGATACCTGTCCAGTTATGTGTTCATTTGACTGTGAAATTGAAAATGTAAATGAACGTACTTTGGTAAACTCATTGGGTTTACATTTTTTTGATCAAATAGTAAATATTGAGCCCTGTAATATTTTTGGAAGCAAGGAAGGATTCAAGATGATTGATACTTCAGAGAATGGGATTTATTATTTTGTAGAAGATGGTCAAATATATTTACATCGAATAACCAAGAAAATTAATGAATAATATTTACCATTGAGTGCCAATTTGTTTAAAGAATAATTGATTCTTTTTCATTAAACATTTGTATTCAATTACATTGTACATTATTTGATTGTTCGCGCGAATTGTAGCTTTTTTATGATATATCGAGAGGAAATATCGATACATCAAAATATCGATAGTAATACAAAAACATTTAAAAACACTAGATTCAAAGATGGATCGTGTTTTTTCTTGATAATTACATTTTGATATTTTTTTGTTATATTTCTTTCTTTTTATGTTGATTATTATTTAACAAGAATGCCAAAAAGGCTGTTCAATCATGAGTCAACCGGTTCGTGATAGAAGAAAGCTCGTTGATCGATCTCAGCGAGTCAAAGTTTATGAAAAACAATCAGTGCTTGAACAGTTGATGTTGAAAAAATTTTCATCTGTAAAATGCTCAAATGCTGATGTTTCCATCTTCTCTACTCAAACGAAAGAACTTGAGAATCGATTTGAAAGTGACCTGCTAACTCGAGCTTCTAAAATCATTGCAAGTAAACCCAACTTTGTTTTACCACCAAGAAAAACAAAGCTTCACAAACCTCATCATGTTTGCTCGGAATCTCCACTTTCATCTTCATCCTGTTCATCATCATCATGCAGCTCCGATGAGGATGAAGAAAATACAGCCTTTGAAGAGCTTGAGAGGAAAAAGTTGCACCCATGGAGATTGCATGAAGAGCTTTGGTTTAACGATCCCGGTGAAATGAATGATGGTCCTCTTTGTAGGTGCAGTGCAAAAGCTAAAAGATCCGGTATAAGGCATGGCATTTATCCAGAAGAAAAAATTTTTCATTGTCAACTCGACTCAAACAACGCTGATCATCTATATCATTACCGGTTGAATATTAGTCCACTTACAAATTATATATCAAAATTTCCTACTACGATAGAGCACGAAAATAATGAGTACTTATTTGAAGGTTTCTCAATTTTATCTCATTCTCCGATTCTCAACTATCCACCCTGCAAATTGATTCGATTTAATATTGAGTACACCATAACTTTAGTCGAGGAAGAATTTCCGTCTAATTTTTCCGTTCGAGGTGTTGAAATGATTACAGAATATATATTTAAAGAGATTTTAGAATTGGTTGATCTAAATTGGCATTCATCTAACGGTACCTCTGATTCCAAAGGATGTCCACAATTTCATCTGTTTCCACGATTCTCAAGACACGTTGATGATGATGGTAAAGAACTATTATCTCTCAACGCAGTAATGAACTACCTATTAGCGCAAAGTGGAGAATTGATTAAAGAATCTGACTTGAAAAAAATTCAATCAATGAATGACTCTGAGTGGCTCGACTTTGTAGATACAGTCAGGGGTATGATCGTAACATTTCCAGGAATGAAACCATGCTCTTTGCGAGTAGACCAAATTGATAAAAACAATGCTGTTACAAATGGTGATAGTTGCTCTAGTGAGACGAAAGCTGAAGATGATGGATTTCCTGTTATAGTTCATTTTGGGATAAGGCCACCTCAGCTCAGTTATGCCGGAAACCCAAAGTATCAGAAAGCTTGGAGAGATTATGTTAAATTTCGACACTTACTCGCAAACAAACCCAAAGTTAGTTACTGTGATAGGCAAACACTGCTACAAAAAGAAGAAAAACTTCAGGACATGAGAACCAAAAATGATCTTAAGCGTGATGTTACAGTTGTAATTAGTAGCAAAGGTTTTCACAAAACTGGAATTTTTTGTGATGTTATTCAACATGCTCTTTTAATTCCTGTCGTCATTTGTCATTTACGATTCCACCAATCACTCGCCCATTTAGAAGAAATTTTAGGTTATCCATTCAAGGATCGTTACCTTTTACAATTAGCCTTAACTCATCCTTCTTATCGTGAAAATTTTGGTACCAATCCTGATCATGCTAGAAATGCCTTGACTAATTGTGGAATCCGCCAACCTCATTATGGAGATCGTCGAGTTCACTTCATGAATACCCGTAAACGAGGAATAAATATGTTAATAAATATTATGTCTCGGTTTGGTTGTCCAGAAGAGACAGCTTCCAATATTAACCACAATGAGCGACTCGAGTTTTTAGGTGATGCAGTGGTCGAGTTTCTCTCATCAATACATTTATATTTCATATTCCCTGACCTAGAAGAGGGTGGTCTAGCGACTTACAGAGCGGCAATCGTACAAAATCAACATTTAGCTGTGCTTGCCAAAAAACTTCAACTTGAAAAATACATGCTTTATGCTCATGGATCAGATTTATGTCATGATATTGAGCTTCGTCATGCTATGGCAAACTGTTTTGAAGCTTTAATGGGTGCTCTTTTCCTTGATGGAGGAATCAAAGAGGCAGATCAAGTTTTTTCGAATACCTTATTCAAAGATGAACCGGATCTCTATGAAGTTTGGATTAGTTACCCTCCCCATCCTTTGCAACAGCAAGCTTCTGGTGGTGATAGAATGTATTTGAAAGCAGTTCCTCGATTACAAGAACTACGAGAATTTGAGGAAATGATTGGCATCGAATTCACACACATTCGCCTTCTGGCTCGTGCCTTTACTCATCGGTCTGTAGGGTTCAACAATTTAACTCTTGGCTCTAATCAAAGAATGGAATTTCTTGGCGATACAGTTTTACAATTAGTTGCCTCTGAATATTTATACAAGTATTTTCCGGAACATCATGAAGGTCATTTATCATTGCTTAGAAGCTCACTTGTTAACAATAAAACTCAAGCAGTTGTCTGTGATGATCTGGGAATGACTCGCTTTGCTGTTTTTAATTATGCCAAAGGAGAATTGAAAACTAAAGATCGAGCTGATTTATTAGAAGCTTTCTTAGGCGCTCTTTACGTTGATAAGGGCCTCGAATATTGTAGACGATTTTGTGAAGTTTGTTTCTTCCCACGACTAGAAGATTTTATCATGAACCAAGACTGGAATGATCCTAAATCAAAATTACAACAATGCTGCTTGACTTTAAGGTCAATCGATGGCGGTGAACCTGATATTCCTATCTATAAGTTAGTAATTTGTTTTTTAAAAACGTCTTTCTATAACTTACATGATATCTAATTTTATTTCATCTATTGTTTTCAACAGAGTAATTGAAAGCTTAGGTCCAACTAATACCAGAGTTTACAAGGTTGCCGTATATTTTAGAGACAAAAGATTAGCCACTGGAAAAGGACATAGCATTCAAGAAGCTGAAATGGACGCAGCTTCAAATGCTCTAGACAATGCTAAAGGTAACATGAGACTTTTGATGATTTTGAACGCAAATGTAATAATTTGTCTTTTAATTTACTTTGTCTATTAGGTTTATTCCCTCAGCTTAATCATCAACGTCGTGTGATGGAACGAAGTTTCAAGACATGAAATCCCAAATGACAAAGACACATTTCGATCATGTTCATCTATCTCTACCAGTCAATGCCATAATGATACTTTTTTTCACTCAAATGAAGTTTTTTCATTGATTTTTTTAATAATTTTGTTGATAATCGACTTGTTTTATGCTTTTTTCAACTTAGATCTGATTTCAATTGAGCTCAGATTATTTAATAAAAGACAATTCTGTTCAACTCATGACATTTTAATAATATTAATAATCAACTGATTTATCTGCCATTTATGCACTTGCGTCATTTTGTTATCATGGTTGATTGCCGATTTTTAACATGAACATGATGAATAAGTGTTTATACATAAGTGAGTTTGAGTATTTATAGTTATCAAGCAATGCTACAGTCGTGGACTAAAATAGATAGTTTTCCTTTAGAAATCTATTTTTTCATATCCGCGCAACTTTTTATTTACAATTGTCAGTCAAATTAATTAGGTAAACCAATCTTACCAGAAACAAACAATTCAATAAATATGATTAAGATGCAAGATCAATGGTCAAACTAAAAGCAAAAGCATTAAAATTAAAACGTAAAACTCAAAACCAAAAAGACTAAACACTGAAAGACTTTCATAAACAGTCTAAAACAAACTAAGGTTGTTGAAACAAACCCAAACTAACAAAACTATCACATTTACATCCATAAATTGAAAACAAATTGAAACAAATGGACAAAATCGCGTGGACATTTATTTATTTCAAATTAAGACTCTGTTGGCTTGAAGGCACATAGAAACTGAGTCCATAAGTGCTTTAAAAATTTTCTCTGATGACAATCCATTACAATAAAAACACCAAATGTCTTATTCTATAATTTAATATAACCTGAACCTTCTTGCATCAATTTAACCTTTTCGCGATTCCCTCTTGCAATTCCAGCAAGTCATTCCCAGTTATGCTGGATGCTTAAGATTATATCTTTACCACAAGGCAAAATGTTATTAACTGGATTCTCCTTTGTTTCAACTGTACCTGTTCGCAAAAGGGTAATAAATGTTATTAAATCAAAGGATCATTGGACAAACAAAAAGCTAAGCCAAAAGGTTTACCAAATATCAAGGATAACGAGGTTAATAGAAATTTACCTTCATTTTGCTGTTTATTTATTGGAACTTGGCAAATGAAAGCGTTCCTGGCTTCACATGAAATATCATTCCAATAATAATGATCACCCGTTGAACCAAAACCTTTGGACGCATATTTAAACTTATTACGGATCTCAACACAATCCTGGTCAGAGAAACCGTCATCACTCGGTTGTTTGCCGTATTTAATGTTACTTTCCATCTTTTGCCAACCAGTAAGCCAATCTAACCAGAAAAAAACAATTTAAAATACGATTAAAATGCAAGATCAATGGTCAAACTACAAGCGAAAGCATTAAAATTGACGTAAAAGTTCGTAAAACTTCAAACCAAAAAGACTAAACTCTGAAAACCTTTCATAAACAGTCTAAAACAATGCATAAGGTTGTTAAAACAAACTCAAATCAACACAACTATCATATTTACACACATATTGAAAACAGATTGAAATAAATGGGCAAATTAGGCTAAATATTAATTTCTTACAAATTTAGACTCTGTTGTTTTGAAGAGACATGAAAACTAAGTCCATTAGCGCTTTTGAAACATTTCTCTGATGAAAAGTTTTCGAGAAAATCGAGTTCAAAGTTGAAACTTCGATTGCTTTTTGTACGGTTTTGGAAGCAGATTTTTTCATGAAACTTCTCTCACTTATGTAGCTTTTAATGGCCAACAATAAAATGCACTTATATTGAGAAATATAATTTTCGATTTTGTTTAAAACGGGTTAGTTCGATTTTAATTTAAACCGACTTATTTCGGTGGCAGTAAATGTTAGAGAGTTGAAACTTATTATGTGTGTGTGCATTTTGTTGGCCCACACTATGGATTGAATACTTCTTTCAATATATCAACCGTTCTCTTGATTTTGGCCATTGGCCTTAAAACTTTGAGTCTCAATATTTCGAGAACGATAACACATAGAACTATCATTTTTTAATTAATCATTAGATTTTATTATGAGCTATAATATATTAAAAAAATAAAATCGTTCAAGATCCAACAAAAAAAGTTATAGCATTATATTATTTATGTGTCAATTGCGAAACTTGATTCATAAAGTTGAATGGTTACTCAAACATAAATGATTATAAATGAATTAGCGCACATTTTATTCGGAATTAAGTTATATCATGTTGTAGCTCATAAAAAAATCTAATGATTAGTTAAAGAACGGTGACTGTATTTGATACCATGTTCGAAATACTGAGTCTCAAAGTTTTTAGTTCAAAGGCCAAAATCAGGAAAACTGTTGATTTATAGAGAAAAGTATTTCATCCATGATACTACGCAACAATTTTTGGGCCCAAACAATCATTTTCAACTCTCTAACATTTACTGCCACCGAAATAAGTCGGTTTAAATTAAAATCGAACTAACCCGTTTTAAACAAAATCGAAAATTATATTTCTCAATATAAGTGCATTTTATTGTTGGCCATTAAAAGCTACATAAGTGAGAGAAGTTTCATGAAAAAATCTGCTTCCAAAACCGTACAAAAAGCAATCGAAGTTTCAACTTTGAACTCGATTTTCTCGAAAACTTTTCATCAGAGAAATGTTTCAAAAGCGCTAATGGACTTAGTTTTCATGTCTCTTCAAAACAACAGAGTCTAAATTTGTAAGAAATTAATATTTAGCCTAATTTGCCCATTTATTTCAATCTGTTTTCAATATGTGTGTAAATATGATAGTTGTGTTGATTTGAGTTTGTTTTAACAACCTTATGCATTGTTTTAGACTGTTTATGAAAGGTTTTCAGAGTTTAGTCTTTTTGGTTTGAAGTTTTACGAACTTTTACGTCAATTTTAATGCTTTCGCTTGTAGTTTGACCATTGATCTTGCATTTTAATCGTATTTTAAATTGTTTTTTTCTGGTTAGATTGGTTTACTGGTTGGCAAAAGATGGAAAGTAACATTAAATACGGCAAACAACCGAGTGATGACGGTTTCTCTGACCAGACGTTTATTCAATATCTCATCTGATAAAAAGTGGTTTTGCAAACGCAAAAACAATGGAAATCTCAGTTCTAGTGCTAAGATTGCTAAGAAATGAGATCTTTTTATTTCCTAGTTTTGACTTCAACTAACCAAATTTTCGACCTTGTCTATTATTTAATAACATTCAATGAAACTACAACGAAAGATAATGAATGGCTTGCTGGAATTGCAAGAGTGAATCGCGAAAAGGTTAAATTGATACAAAAAGGTTCAGGTTATATTAAATTATCGAATAAGACATTTGGTGTTTTTATTGTAATGGTTAACAAATTTTCTGTTTATCAAAGCACTTTTACAAATTAGAATGTGTGTTTGGTTGAATTGACAAGGAAATCATCTTAATCAACTGATTCATGAACTTTATAGTAAATTGAAAAGAAAATCAACATCTAATTCATCTTCTTTTCTCTCTCTTCCAGTTCCTCTCTATTTTCTGTACACATCAATCCACATCCCTAATGATCCATCTCCACCAATGATTATAATATCCATTGGTTGGTTAAAAAAGTTAAATGAACTGAATCAAGTGTAAATTGTTACAATCATCACTTTGTTAGATTTCCTTGTTGATATTTTGTTCATAATGTTACCAGAGGTACTACAGAGTAACTATTATAACTTTATAAGGCTCTCTAACTTGTCTCTTATTGCTAACTCATTTTTATATCAACTTATTATTCAGTTTTCAAAATCATTCCGTCTTACTGTGTGTTAAACATGTGTTGATTCATTTTAATCGAATCTGTTAACAGTCAATAATCAGATCATTTTTCGTTTGGAGTTAGCATTTTATTAAGTGATGAAAATTGTGATCATTTTTAAAACAAAACATTACAGTAAAATTTTTCATTGATCAGCAATCTGCGTTTATTTACAGATGAAATTTATATGTAAAAAAATAATATGAAAACAACAAAAATACAACACAAATACTCCACACTCTTGTCTGCTTAACTTTAATCTTATTCATTAAGATTAATTATTGCATTTCTCATTTTAACTCCTTGTTTGTTTGGGATTTTGTACTTTTAGTTTCTTCATTTCGTCTTTAACAAAAGATATAATTAAATGATAATAAATTAGCATCAAGATTCAACCAGAGAATCTTCATAAGAGCCTGATTCAACAAACTCTTCAATCTCTTCAATTGCTTGGTGATCCAATTTGTCCGATAAACACATTTGAATCATAATAAACTTTTTTCAGACCATTATCTTAATGGTATGAGTACTGAAATCATTGGAGAGCATTTTGAGTTAATTCTTCAATCTCAACCGCTTCGAAATCCATATCTTTTTCATAAAGAGCCAATACAGAAAGAGAAAGAATGGCCAAAGCGATTCCAGCATTTTGAAGCGCAAGGATTTGTAAAGATGATTTTACGCCTTTACGAATCGCATTCTCCATTGATCTATTCATTTCTCTCATAACATCAACCAAAGCCATATATAAAAACATGCCACCAGCCAGAGCAAATATATAAGGCGACTCTTCTTCAGCAGCATCACCCAGAAAGATACCCAAAACAAGACCAGGATAAAGCGTACAAGCGGAAACAAAGATCCAGAAAAATCCTTGTTTCATCTCCATTCCAGCTCTAATCAGGACTGCAAATGTTCCTAATCGATGAGGGACTTCTTCCAACATAACAGCAACCGAAATTGATATTCCAGCTAAAATATTACGATCAAAAGCAGCACCAATAGATAGACCATCGATGAAATTGAGTGATGCATCACCTAAAACGATCATCCATGCAGCAGCGTCAATAATGGCTCGAGTAGAAGTATATTGATCTTTCCTTCGACCAGCCATATCAGAGACGAAAGCTTGTTTCCTCAGAATCGTATCAATATCGGTTGCTAGAGAGGAACCACCAGGAGCTAAATTGCCAGTAACACTAACTGCAGTCACGGATGCAGCAGCTACAACCGCCAAATCACTTGATGGTCCAATGTCTTGAACAGCTATGCTTTTTAATGTCACAGGATCACGTATACTGGCCAGTTTAGCATCCATTTGAAATTTGGGCGAATCAGCATGAGCTGTCGGTGATGTAAACAAAGTTTCAAGGATTTCGGTCTCCGCACTGGCAGAATCAAAGCATC